GAAAACAGCCATCATGTATATTAACTATTTCACAATAATACATCAACCACAAATATCCAGCCGTTAGTGAAGAAACGGAACACTGATGAAGGACTAGAGCTGAACTGATGATATTCAAACCACTCTGGAGAGATTTGTATCATGTTAATATTTCATGTTTGATTTTCTGCCAATCTGTTTCAATATATTAGACATTAATGCTATATTTGAGTTTATGTACTACTGGTTGTGCAAGTTTTTTGTATTTTTCCTTTGTTGAATTCTTAAAAAGGTATTAAAAAGCACTTAATCAGATTTTTAAAAACGTGCAGCAACACTGACTTCATGTAGAACCTAAAAACAGCTTTTACACAGAGGTGTCTTTCAAATAAGAGTATTTTGCAGCTATATTGTGTCCACTGTCCACCACCCTATCAAAGAGCTTTGACTTCTGACCACTGTTCCTCTTCGCTGATGCAGATGTCCAGGTTTGAAATATGTGGTCGGAATTTTTAGACTGTTCTCCTTAATGCATTAAATTATTTAAGTTTTTGTGATTCATGTGCCTAGAGTTCAGACAATATTTGTCCTCTTTGGACTCTGTTTGTGTCTCATATTGATGTGAAAACTCACATATGAAACTGCTCATAGTCAGAACTCTCTGGACATGTTCTGGTAACTGACACTCAAACTAATATGACTCACCTGTATTAGCTGACTCTGTAAATGTGTTTTAGTTCAGTCAATCTTAAACATTGTTGATGGCTTATTTCTGTTATTTTGTCCATTCCCAGTATACAAATTCCTATTGGATATTTGAGAAAAACTTAATTCACTGAAACTAATAAAACAGTATTCTAATAAGTAACAAGTCAACCATTGCAGACCGAAAGCAGTGACATACTGGTCTTAATCCGTGAATTACACTTATAATGCTTACTTATTAATAACATTAAATTGAATACTGTTGTTATACTCCCCAAACCTATCCTGTGTAACCTGCATTATGTTAAGAGTGAGAATCAATTTGAATCCATTCCGGTACTAGTAGTGTAAGGGTCCAAGGGCCAAGCCTGCGACGCCGGCCGCCAGCAGAGGGCGACGAAGTGCCATAACCAGAGAACTTGTAGCGTGAGTCCAAAATGAATGGGTTGATATGGAGCATTTGAGCAAAATCACAGTTTATAAATGCTTAAACATTTTTAATATAAAAAATAGAATCATTTCCTGAACACTGAATATCATAAAACACTTTAACGCCGCTGTTATATTTTAAGAGCTTTAACTCGAGTTATAGGAGTTTAAAACGGCGCTTCATGTATGTTCATGACGTCAGTGAGCGCGAACAGCCAATGAGCTGCTCCGCTCGCCAATCAATCATCTCTCTCTAGCAGTAATGCCCGCCTTCTGCTGCCAAAACCCGTTTGCTGTAGAAAAAAAGGAAATATATAGGTGAGTTTTCTTTGTTTGTTTAGTGAAATACATCCTTCTGCTTTCTAAAATTAAAGAACATTCTGGTCGAGTGATTAGAAACTATTTTAACTTTTCGTTTTTGGCCGTTGAGCTCCATTAACTCCCATTCATTTAGGACTCACTTGCGGGCGCCCTCTGCTGTTTAGCTGTCCTGTTTTTGATATAACGGGGGAAATAGGAAGCAGCCAGGCTCCTCGTAAACCGTCTCTGCAGTCGGCGCCATGCTCTTATGCCGTATAAGGAACTCCAGGTATAAAATTAACTGAAAACAGTAGGTGCAGCTAGGGGAAGTCACTTCCCCACGGCTTTTCTCTCTTTACACCAATGACTGCACATCTAAGTATTTACCATCTGTTAAACTCCTGAAGTTTGCAGACGACACTACAGTCAATGGACTCATCCAGGACAGTGACTGTATATCGGTGGGAGGTTGAATGGCTGGTACTCCATTGCAGTCAGAACAATTTGGAGCTGAACATGCTCAAGACTGTGTAGATGACTGTGGACATTAGGTGAAAACCCTTAGCACTGTTCCCACTCATAATATCTGACAGACCTGTGTCAACTGCTAGAAATGAAATCCTGTGTGAATTGTGTTGTGACATTTTGTAAATCTCATTTAGAGCCTCATTATAATATTCCACAACTTAAGAAACACAAACTAATAAACCCAGTGAAAAACCCAGAGGACTACTTATGCCAGAAGCATAAGATACCCCTGGAGCTGTTCTCTAGAGATGACCAGACGTACACTCTTAAAATTGATGGTTCTTCAAGGGTTCTTTAGTAAAGAAAATGGTTCTATATAGAATCACGAACATTCAAAAAACTCTTCATGTTATTAAAGGGTTCTTCACTTCGTTAAATGGTTCTATTAATGGTTCTATGTAGAACCTTTTCAAAAAGGGTTTTATAGAGCATCAAAAATGGTTCTTTTACTGTTACGATGTCAAGCTTGTAATGATAGAAGAACCTTTTTTGGTGCTATATAGAACGCTTTTCAAAAACATTCTATATAGAACCATATACAACACATTGTCCATTATTCTGAAGAACTCTTTCACAATGTAAAGAACCCTTTACTTGCGCCAAAACAAAACCATTATCTTTACTGAAGAACCCCTGAAGAATCATTTTAAGTGTGTATGTTTGTCAGTTATGCATTATGACTGACCACAAGAATCACAACACTGTTCTTATAGAGGAGGAGAATGAAGAGAAAAAGGTAGGAGAGACATTGATTAAAATCAAGTGTAAAACATCTAAACCTAAACATTTAATTCTATAGAGTAGATAAAGCTCTGTATATAAACATAACCACCATTCACTGTTGTTTAATTAAAGTGAAATGCAAAGAAAGAGAAAGCAGACAGTGTTGAAGTTTTCACTGCTTTGATCTGCTCCATTGAGAGAAGCCAGGCTGAGCTGCTTGAGATGATGGAGGAGAAGCACAACAACATGGCCCATGCTGACTGTAGATTTACCCATCACTGTGCAGACCTCCACACACCAAGAACTGGACTGACATCAGTATTGACCCTCATCTGAATGTAGAGACTGTGAAGGACGCTCTGTCTCAACTTCAGAAGAGTCTGAATGAGAAGGTCAGAGAATCAGGTGAGAAATCTTCATATTCAGTATGTTTTAAGACAAAAGAAATATCAGAGATTATATAAAAACTAAATGATAAATGAAAATGATTTTTTCTATCAACTTTGTAGTTTCGTAGAGATATAGAGTAGAAATATACAGAGAAAAAGTGGACATAACCCATAAAATTTAATAAACATTATTTATTGTAATTGGTCTCAACAGAACTGAAGATTGTTCAGCAGTTTGCAGGTTTCTGGATTTTTCTCTTTATTATTTTAAATGCTATTAAATGTTATGATTTTAAAATCATCTTCACACTGCTGCTACCAGTACAATGTACTCATTTTATTACTTGTAGTTCACCATAAAATATATTTTTGTATTCCACAAACCTTTTTCAAAGTTTGTTCAGTGTGATTTAGTGGATGATGAATTCATTCATTATCTGTATATTCATATCATACACTGTGTGATTTTACTATCAAGGGGAAGACTGAGAGGGATTTAAGAGTGGCCAGAGAGTCCATTAACAGGAAAAGTGGGGATAAACTGACCGTACAGAATGGAGAAGCTCCAAAAAATGGGGGTGTTTGTGGATTATGAGGAGGGTCTGGTCTCCTTTTATGATGTCCAGATCTCATATCTGCTCTTTCACTGGTCAGTCTTTCACTCAGAAACTCTATCCATTCACTTTTTACAGTAATTGCAACAAGAACAGTGGAAAGAAATTGATTTGATTATTTATGACTCATCAGTGTGGTTAAATGATTAAAACATAATGTGGAACTCTTAAATACCTCAGTAATATGAACCCAGTGACCTCAGTGAAAATGAAGGGGCATGTAGTGAAAGTAGTACAGATCTGTAAGTGTGCTACATTGTGACCACAGTGATCTCTGACCCTCTCACTGTAACTGAGAAGGTCAGATCAGATTCAGATGTTAGATGTTATTCTGTACTGTGAGACTGAAGTTTTATCAGGTAATGAAACTGAATGTGGAGCTTCCAAGCAGGCTGAATGTGAGTGAAAATCTTTGAAGCATCTTAAAGGGGAATTCCACATAGTGTTAAAAAAAATTCTGCATTATCAAGTGGTTAATATGTAAACAAAGACATTCAGAGTTGTTTGATCTCAAATGCACCATTCTAGAGAAACTGAGTCTAGAATCAGATTTGTTCACAGTGATCCAGACATCTGAAGTGTTATTGCCTCTAAAAGCTCCCTCACAGCAAGTTATTACATGAAATGGTTATGAATATGATGCTTGATGTCTGAGACATTGTTTTATGCAGGTTTTGAGATGATTTTGTCCTAAAATGTATTTTAAAAATGCATTCATGGAGGAGAGATACATGCAGGGAGTTTAGGGCAAAATAAAACCCCTCCAAATATTTTTAGATGATCCAGGATTCCCACAGATCCTTAAGATGTTATAACTATAGTATCATAGGCCTTAAAATAGATTTTAAAAATTAGTCATATGATGTCAAACTGTCTGATTTTCTTATTATTAGAGGCATTAATTTCTAAGACAATGTCTAAAGACTGAGTTGAAAACAGCCATCATGTACAATATACTAATTCACAGTAATACACCAAACACAAATATCCAGCTGACAGTGGTCCTGGTGACTGAGCTGAACTGATGATAGCCAAACACACTAAAGAGACATTAATTAATGCAGTATTAATTAAAAATAATTAAAAATAATGCACTTAATTAGAATTTTTAAAAGAGTGCAGTAATCCCGACTTCATGGACAGTTTTCACATAGAGGTAAACTTCAAATAAGAGTATTCAGGGAAACGTAATCAGGGAAACTTAATGCCAAGTACAGCTTTTAGTCCCTTATTCTCAAATCATTTATCCAGCGTAAGTATAAAGACTGCTCAGTGTGTTAACATTTCTCCTTTCCTGTCTTATTGGAACCTGCAAAGTCTCCCTTCCTTTTTTTCATCTTTATTTCCTTTCCTGTCTTTGTCTTTTTTCAGGTTGTGTACACATGATAAGGCAAGTTTATATTTTCTCTTTTTAATTCTTTTGGCTTCCTCTTTCCCTCCTTCGATGTTTCTACTGCATATTAATGATTTTTAAAGCATTTATTGATTAATCTTTTAATTATTAATCTATATTAATTTTTTGCATTACAAAATACAAGAGAAGATATGAACTCTTAATACACACCCATTCCTAATGTTGCAGTCATATCTATATTCATGTAAAGAACAGTACAGTTATTTTGCCCTTAAAGATTTTTTTTTTCATCTGCATTTCTCTGAGCACAGATGCTGTTACAATATTATGAAGTAGTATTACTTTTAAACCTTCCAACTAAACTGCACAGTCTGCACTGTGTTGAGAAACAGAACATCAACAACTTACATTCCAGAACTTCCTGAGAGAAAGTGAAAGTGAACGAAGCTGGAAGTTCACATTCAATAACAGCTTCTTCTTCACTTGCTGGATATTGAGAAACTCTGAGAAGAGTTTAAACACAGACAGTTCTGACTCTTCAAGAAAAGGACAGAAAGAAAATAAAGGTATGTACTTCAGTGAAAGATTCATAGATCAGAAGTTTAGTCAGTGTGAGCTTCATCACGGTGAACTACATGAGTAAACAAATTCAGATGAAACGTTTAACACTGAGAAAGTGATCAGATCAACAGCTGGAATACTGATGTTGAATACAATGTGATTATTGTCTCAAACAAGAGGAATAATATTTGATGTTGTCTGATGGAGCTTGTAAGCTGAGCTGTAAAACAGGTTGAAAGGTTGTTGTGTTGTGTTAACTGGTTAAAGCAGAGTGGAGCAAAAACCCTCATTCAGACAGAGCAGACAGTGAGAAACTGAATGATATTACTGAGCTGAGAGCTGTGATGATGGTCTGTATAAAGAGGAAAAGAGCTTTTACAGTCTGCAGATACAGAACAGTGTCATCTCAGGACCTCCAGTGTCTCTGCAAAAGTTTGTTCAAAGGACATGTTCTGTTGATTTTCTAAGTTAACATAAGTAGACGTCCTCAACAGAGAACACTTCTACACATTTTAATGCACAATTACTGTTTAGTTGCTGAATTTGACATTGAAAAATTATTAAACATAAAATGTGGCCTCTGCAAAAGATATTTTTTTTACTTGGAGAAAAAAAAATAAAGAAACACAGACATTGATGTAGATGATGCTTAGAGAATCAACAAAACAAGCCATTTGAGCAGATGTAATCACATTTTAGCATATGACTATATAATACTGGTTTGAGTGAGTTTAAGGCAGCCGCCAAGTGTGCTGTGTTAAATGTGTGAGCTTAGTGATGTAATTTCTTACTGAAAGGTGTGAAGTACAAGGAGGAAGAAAATGGCTGAATCTTCATTACAGACACCAAAAGAAACAAGAAGGCAGAGCAAAGATCAAAAATGTAAGTGTAAGTTAAATTGAAATATCTCTTTTCAGTCAGAATGACCTTAATTTTGGTCTTGGCCAACTCAGTACAGTGTAATAAAAGTAAAATACAGAATGAAATACCTTTTCACGTTTTCAGTGTCATGTTCAGGGCCAGTTGTGTCAGTCAGACAGCACAGATTATGACATCAAGTTATCACAATGTTTTATTTCTATTAGTTTACTTTTCATTCCACATGTATGAAAAATGCTCTAAAACAATCCATCCTTTTCAAGTTTATTTTGCACCGGCAGTCAAGAAAATTATTCAGATGCACAAACACTGAGTTACAGGTTTATTAGATACTTACAGCTTTGAGGTTCACCTACCTTATATATCCACTATGTATATAATTACAGACTGTAGTCTGGTGTCCATTATCTATATCATTAATTTTTGGTCAGTTTAAAAACACTATACCAGTGTTGACTAGATATTATTTGGGTGCTGGGCCATTTTCAACACAGCATTGACACTGAAATGGTGATGGTATCAGACACAGTAACTGCTACCTTGTAGTTCCACCTTGATGGAGTACCCTAACCCAACAGTGGTTGGTTTATTACCACAGTGCTTGGCTAAATACATTTCGGGGGTGGACCACTCTCACTCTCAAATGAGGTGTGTCCCACCAACCCTGCTTTGCTGATACACTTGTACAGAGGCACTTGTTGTGGGCCTTCTGATTATTTCAACTTAGGCCCCTTGCCTCACCTCATTTATCTTAGCAGAAACTTTCAACACTAAACTGCACCAACATTTTAATGACTCCTCTGTTTTGTTATAGTGCCATCATTTCTTACTCTGACTTCCATCATGCTGTCATGTCTAGCATACATATAAGAATACAAACAACATGAGTATCAATACATGCAACTGCTCGAAATTAGATTGTTTTGCTGCTTTTGCACTGCATTATGGCTGTTGAAGCCAAACTCTATCATGCATGAACTTGTACAGAAAATAAACATTTTAATTGGTACTTCACTTGAGCCGGCAGACAGAAGAATAAAATAAAGAGGGTTTTTAGCCTACAGACCAGACACCAGACCCCGTTCTACTTCACCTTCACTTTTAAGTTAAACTGTCATGTTTCAGTGGTTGAGAGAACACAACACAAAACAGTATGTTGTGCTGTTTGAGAGAAACTCAAAAACACTAAAAATTTACATTAGAATGGGTTTTGTTTAGATAGCTCCACTGCATTACTTACATTTGGCAGTGATATATTACAGTTTTTATATCATGAGGTTATTTCCTATTAAGAGCTGTTTACACTGAAGGTCCCAGAGGAGGAGTGACAGGTAGAAGATGCATTGCTGTTGGCACTAAATGTAAAACTAGCCCTCAATTATCATTTAATGAATGAAGTGCTTCAGTCACGAGTCTTTCAGTAATCACTTGAAAAATAGCACAATCTTTGTGGGCCCCTGTGTTTCAGGACCCTTTGAATCGTTCTGACACTCCCTCCCCCTCCCCAGCACTCATACCAGAACCACACACTACTGTGTAAGTGTCATTGCTGTGCTGAGAATGGTCAATCAACCATATAATAACTGGTCAGTGGCTGGACAACAGCGTAGAATTCAGGAAAGCTTTTTCTTTAGAAGACTTAATATTATAAAAGTAAAACAAAATGTTGTCAGGCAGTCATGAAATTTTGATGTGGAGGTAAGTAAACACTCTTAGTTAGTTAGTAGATCTCCTTCAGTTTTAGTGTTTATCTGTCATTATTATATCAAAAAATGTTTGACCATTTTTTGTCCACCAGTGTATTTATACATTTAATCACTGAAGGAATAAAAAAGTTTCTTATATTTTCAACTCGTCCACAGTTACTCCTGATTTCAGTGGTCTCCTGTCTGAAGATCAGTTCCTGTGTTCTATCTGTCAGAACGTCTTCACTAATCCAGTCTCCACTCCATGTGGACACAACTTCTGCATGAAATGTATTAAAACATGCTGGGGTGACAGTGAGCAGTGTCACTGTCCATTCTGTAAAGAGGAATTCACCAAGAGACCAGAACTCAAGGTCAATACAGGATTCAGAGAGGCTTTAGATCACTTCAAGAAGAAAAGTGGTCTGGATAAACCTGAGGTTCTTTGTGATGTCTGCACTGGCGTGAAGCAGAAAGCCCTGAAATCCTGTCTGGATTGTGTTATGACATTTTGTAAATCTCATTTAGAGCCTCATAATAATACTCCAAAACTTAAGAAACACAAACTAATAAACCCAGTGAAAAACCCAGAGGACTACATATGCCAGAAGCACAGGAGATCCCTGGAGTTGTTCTGTAGAGATGACAAAACATGTGTGTGTATGGTCTGCACTGTAACTGACCATAAGAAGCACAACACTGTTCCTGTAAAGGAGGGGATTGGAGAAATGAAGGTGTCTGAAAAGCTGATTAACATCAACTTTAAACATTCATATAAAATGAAACATAACATTTGTTAAGAAAATAAAAAAAAAAATCACTGAAATATAAAAGTAAAGATCATTTCTTCTCTGTTCACAGTCACAGCTGGAGAAGACACGGACAGAAATGCAGCACATGATGCAATACAGACTGAAGAAGATCAAAGACTTTAAAGGCTCAGTAGAGCTCAGAAAAGTGAGTGAAACATGACATGTTATGACGTCCTCCTTCTGCAGATTCTATTTCGTTTTATACATAACTCAGTCCCAGAGATGTACTAGCCAGTAGGAGCACAGGGGCAATGCCTGATGGGCTGCTATGTGTGCAGGCTGCTGATGAAGTGAAAAAGGGAGAAACTGCGTTTAAGTATTTGCCCAACACATGTGCCAAAATGTTGTTTCTAATGTAGCTCATATAAAACGAATGGAAACCACCCGGGTCAAACACTCCAGTCAAGCTGTCCTCACCTGTATCACATGTACTCAAATTTTAGGAGATTTAGTGCATTACAAATATCTATGTTCATGGCCACAGCTTCTAGACAAATCTTTTGCAACAAACTACAACCTCGTTTCCAAAAAAGTTTAGATGCTGTGTAAAATGACAAAATCAGAATCCAATGAGGAACAAATTGTTTCAACCCTATATCTAATTGAAAATAGTACCTTTGCTCAGCTAACCACCAAAGCCAGATCATTCAGTGTACTTTTAAACTCTACAGATGGCCATCTTAATGTTAATGTGATATCATACACTAATTAAGTCTGGGTAATTAGCTAGCTAGCTAACTAGCAGCTACTCCAGTTCTCAACCAAGCTATAATTTGTTTTACATTCACGCTCATGTATTTAGGAGAGATTAAGCAGTGCTAATTGTTGTTGCTGTAATAGTGGGCATTCACTGTTATTTGCTTCATTCTTCTTCCATCAGAGAAACACAGAGAAAGAGATTGCAGACAGTGTTGAAGTCTTCACTGCTCTCATGCGCTCCATTGAGAGAAGCCAAGCTGAGCTGGTAAAGGCGATGGAGGAGAAGCAGAAAGCAGCAGAGAGGCAGGCTGAAGACCTCATTAAAGAGCTGGAGCAGGAAATCACTGAGCTAAAGTGGAGAGACACTGAGCTGGAGCAGCTCTCCCACACTGAGGACCACCTCCAGCTCCTACAGGTCAGTGTCCCTCTATCTGCTCCAGTGGAAGACTCAGGCTGTTCAAAGGGCTGGGGTGAAAAAAAATGAAAAAAGACACCCATTGTACAACATGGGGTCCCTCCAGCACGCAAAAAGCTATGATGCATCATGTATGATGAAATAGTCTTCATGCTTGATTAAGATTAACATTATGTTATCAGGTGATCCAGATTACATAGAGAACTAGGGCCTTCATTAAGGCACATTATTAAACTTTCTTGCTCTGAAGGGCACATCACCCCATAATTCATGGCCTAAAGGGGCAACCTAGAGGGCACTTTAGTGACACTTTTTTAACCAGTTGCCCTCCTCACACCCACCCTGAATCTGCCAGTAATCTGCTCAACGACAGTGCAGCACATCACACAACACTACCCCTGCTGAGGGATTTCTTCTCTCTCCTGCTGGACTGTAGATTTACCCATCACTGTGCAGACCTCCACACACCAAGAACTGGACTGACATCAGTATTGACCCTCATCTGAGTGTAGAGCCTGTGAGAAACGCTCTCTCTGAACTTCAGACAAGTGTGGAGAAGATGTTGAGCGAATCAGGTGAGAAATGTTGATATCGTACATATAGTAAAAGCAATTGTTCATAACATGTTGTATGAAAAGAAAAAAATCGATGAAAAAATGTTTTGAGTAAATATTTTTATTGTAATTAGTCTCAACAGAGGTGAAGAGGATTCAGCAGTATGCAGGTACAGTGCAGCTTCTGGATTATCTGCTCTCTTTTTATTGTTTTAAATGCTTTTATATTTTATCATTTAATCATCATTGCACCACTTATACCCAAACTATATAAAGTTCTATTACTCATATTTCACTGTAAAATTTGCTTTATTCTTCCACAAACCCTTTTCAAAATGTACTCAGTGTGATGGATCACTGAATGATCATCACTGGATGATGAATTTGTTTATTATCTGTATATTCATATGTGTGTTTCTCTCAGTGGACGTGACTCTGGATGCTGATACAGCTCATCGCTATCTAATTCTGTCCAATGATGGAAAACAAGTGAGAGATGAAAAGAGAAAGCAGAAGGTTCCTGACAACCCAAAGAGATTTAATGGATGTACTTGTGTCTTGGGAAAGGAGGGATTCTCCACTGGGAGAGTTTACTATGAGGTGCAGGTCAGGGGGAAGACAGACTGGGATTTAGGAGTGGCCAGAGAGTCCATTAACAGGAAGGGGAAGATTACACTGAGCCCACTGAAAGGATTCTGGACTGTGAGGTTGAGGAATGGGAATGAGTATAAGGCTTGTGCTGATTCCCCAGTCCTCCTCTCCCTGAGAGAGAGGCTCCAGAAGGTGGGAGTGTTTGTGGATTATGAGGAGGGTCTGGTCTCATTTTATGATGTGGAGTCCAGATCTCATATCTACTCTTTCACTGGTCAGTCTTTCACTGAGAAACTCTATCCATTCTTCAGTCCCTGTAAAAATGATGGAGGTAAAAACTCAGCTCCACTGATCATCTCACCCGTATCAAAGACTGAATAAACTTTCAGTTGTAACTACAATAGGAAAACTACAACAAAACAGATTTAATGTTTTCTGATACACTATGGGAGAAAACTGTTATCTACTGTTTACTTACAACACACACACACACACACACACACACACACACACACACACACACACACACACATTTTCTAATCCGCTTATCCTTCTGGGTCGTGGAGAGAGCTGGAGCCTATCCCAGCAGTCATTGGGCGGAAGGCAGGAAACACCCTGGACAGGTCGCCAGTCCATCTCAGGGCAGACAGACAGACATATACATTCACACACACATTCACACATAGGGGCAATTTAGCGTATCCTAATGGCCTGTGGGACGAAACCGGAGTACCTGGAGGAAACCCACGCAGACACGCGGAGAACATGTAAACTCTACACAGAAAGGACCTTGGTCGCCCGGCCGGGGATCAAACCAGGCCCTTCTTACTGTGAGACGACAGTGCTAAGCACTCACAGTGTATTATAAAATTGCAATACTTTCACAATTACTATATTACTGAGTAAATTTGATATAATTGTATAGTTTCATTCTGCACCCCTGTATTACTAATGTACTATCTGAGGTCCCACAGTTTTCCTACATTATCTTGTACAATATGTAATGATATATACAAACAATTTCTGATAGCAGACGCTTGATTATTCATTCATACTGTTACATATATTGTCACTGAATGTAGGATCAGGATCAAAGGTCAGCATATACTCTTTACTGTCTGACTGAAGTTTTTCTCAGATAGGAAATTGGAAAAGAATAGCCAAATGGGAAATTCTCTCATTATGATGTGCACAGTCATTCAGAGTGGTTTGGGGAAATGCTCTGTTGCAATACTCCATTCTAGAGAAAGTTACTGACTGAGAACCATTCACAATGGTGGTGATAGGAACCAGGCATCTAACATGGTTAAATCCTTTAAAAGCAAATCACAGAACATTATTTGTTGAAATGGTTGCAAATACACTGCATGATGCCAGAGACACTGTTTTATGAGGAGAGAATAAAAAAACTTAATTGTATTCAAATTTGTTGAAAGTGTGTTGTAGTAGCAAATGTATGTACTTAAAAAATACTAAACTATATTAGTAAAATAAGATTTCATCATTGATTGCAAGTAAAGTTTGATAACACTTTTGAAAAATGATAGTATAGTACAATTTTTATAAATCATTTATTAAATATACATTTAGTTAAAATTTAGCATTATTTATTATACAGACTATATGGATACTAGTTTTCAAATACATTTTTTTGCATAATGTGTTAAAAATAATTACTTTAGTAATTCACTACTAGCACACTAACAAAATTCAAGAGTATTTTTTAGAAAGTGAGTTTTATTACTGCATTGTTAAAATGTACTTTGAAAATACTTTATTATTTTGTATTTAGTATATACTCTCACCACTTGTACCCTGAGTAGATGACTCTGCTCTTCTTGGTTTAGCCCCATGATTTCTCTGCCGGCAAATGGCTGCTTTTGATTACCTGCAGGGGGTGCTCACGTCTGCCCCTATTGTAACAAGGACTTACTTTGCTGTCCCTTTGAAGATACATACAGACAACTTTAAAGAGTCTGTTGGGGCAGTGTTAGCGCAGGACATTGATGGACCTGAACATGTAGTGGCCTGTGCCAGTCAGGCTCTGACCCATGCACAGAAATGGTAGACAACTTTTGATAGAAAGCTCTGGGCTGTTGTGCAGGAGTTTACACACTATGTGGGGCTGTCTACATTCACAATCATTACTGTTCCTCAACCTTTACTGGGTCTTTGGTGTGTGACCATCAATAATGACCCCTTTGACTGGGTCATTATTCATAAGGATGAATGTGGACACATCTCGCTGTAAAAACCTGACCCCGGAGAGCTGGAGAACATTGCTGCTGGTGTGCATAGTATTGACAGCTGGACAGCTTTTCTACTGGCCCTGGTGACAGTTCCAACATGGCCCAGGGCCTGGCCTACTCACTCTCACATGATGGCTCTGAGGTAAGGTCTTTATAATGGAACAATCCAGATATTACAAAAGTCCCCTTCAATTCACAGCGCCCGTCTCACAGACATGTAAGGGGGTCTCAGCCTCAGGAAGCTGTGGACATAATTCGCTCGTCTGTCCATAATAGATGTACTTTTATGTCAGACTGTGCTCATGTCTCTTGCAGGTGAGAAAGAAGTGCAGGTAATGATTCCCCCAGTCCTTGTGCCTTACCTCCTTTAACACTTCTATGGTGGGCCTTCCTCTGCCCCCTTTTCAGCTGAACAAGTCTGGGAAAAGGCCAGACAGACATGTAACTGACCTTCCATGTTGGGTAGACATAAAGCGTTGGTGTGAACAGTGTGAGGCAGGTCCCCAGTACCAAGAGAAAGGGCACCTATGGGGAGTCTATAATTAGCTGCCTGCTGCAGAGGGTGGCTGCAGACATTTTGGAGCTGCATGAGACAAAAAAGGGGAAGAGGTTTGTTTTCATAGTGGAGGATTGCATTACGCAGTTTGTTAAACTGCACTCCCTATCCTTGAAAAAAAGTATGCTAAAGTACTGCTAACGAAGAAATATACTTAAATTATTTTATTTTGGAACCACTAATTTGTACTAAATCACTACTGATGTGACTACTTGCGTGCTCTTTAATAACAAAATTGGTATATCAAGTTATATAGTCCCAATATATTATTAGCATATTTACAAATACAGTCAAGTATATTTGCTGAATCCTTGTGTTCTTATAATACTGGTTCAGCATACTAAAGTGTGTACTTTAAGTATGTCTTAAAGTGTACTAAAATACACACTTAGCATTCCATGTCATATATCTCATATTCAAGTATTTTACCTGTAGTAACAATATTTGCAGTATCATATATGTAACATGTAACTTTCAAAGGCTACTTAAGTTTACTTCAAAATATAGTTCAAGTGTACAACCACTGTATTTAAATGACCATTTATTTTATCCCTTGTAATTTGCAATACAAGGTGGTCAAGTGATTCAATAACGCAATTACTGTCTTAACACCATATAGATAATATTTATTCAAAACATGTAGGTAATACACTTACGATTTGATTAAAGATCTGATTCTTTAAACGTCTTACCCTTTAAAAGGGCATCACAAACAGTCTATTCTGCTGCAACTCTGCTGCACTGCTAGTATTTGCTGCTAACTTCTGGGAACTATTGAGAAGCTCCACGATCCACTGTCAGTTGTATATAGAGCCATGTCATGCTGAAATGGTTCTTTGTATGGTGAAATGGTTCTTCTGATTGAGAGAGAACATTTTGTATATGGTTCTGTATAGAATCCTTTTGAAAATGGTTCTATATAGCACCAAAAAGGGTTCTTCTGTAGTTACAAGCTTGACATCATAACAACAAAAGAACCTTTCTTGGTGCTATATGGAAACACATACAACACAGTGCCCATCAATCTGAAGAACGATTTAGCCATGCAAAGGACCATTTAAGCATTAGATGGTTCTGTGTAGAATTCATGGTTCTAAATAGAACCATTCCTTTTACTAAAGAACCATCTTTTTAAAGAGTGTACATGAAGTTTAAACTCTGAAAGAACAGTTACGTAAAAACCTGACAGTGTGCTTGGTTGAAAGTAGCATCACATTCCTAAGTGTTCTTTTATTATAAAACATTTACAGATGCATTATTGCTTAAAACTAAACAAACTAGACAATGTAGGTTAAAACTTAAAGACTGCTGTTAATACAGAGTGCTATACCTTTAGATGATATTGCCTAAGTTCACACACAGCATTAGATATTAGCTAACGTTTTGAAAAGTGCAGGGGATGAAGATCGGAAAAAAAAACTTCTTCGGTCCATGACTGCAGTTAACTACAATTTCCAGCAGTTTAATAGGCTCTTGGTTGGGACTCAAGAGATTCTAACAAGTTGTTTTCAATGGCTTGGTGACCATCGTTATCTTCAGCTAATGTTCCTCTGTCTGTCTCTTAGTAAGAGACTCACAATGCACATTGGTATAGATTCAGCTGATGTGATTACTGGTATTCATTAGAAATCATGAGTGCATGCATTGTGGGAGACTGCAGTAACCTTAACATCACTGTGGAATTCCATTTTACTATTCAGACACTAAGAGAAAAATGATCAGCGTCCTAATTAGTTCTGTAAATGCAGACAGGGATCCATTTCATTCAGAATCTATGATTTAGTTTTGTCATTTAAATGTGGGCTGGTGAAGGTGGCCTAGTGGATTCACAGGCCAGCAGCTCAGCCTCTTTATATGTGGTGGTCCTGTTTCCTACAGACATCAGCTGCTTTTAGTCAGAAATACAGTATGAACACCTACCTTTGAAAAAAATAGAAAGAAAATTTTTTACATGAGGGGCACAGTTTTACTCACAATTTACAAACATGATCAAAGATATGAAGATGGTACTAACTGCATTATTTTTTTAAGAAACACAAACTAATAAACTCAGTGGAGAAACTGGAGGACTACATATGTCAGAAGCACAAGAGACCCCTGGAGCTGTTCTGTAGAAATGACCAGATGTGTGTGTGTCTGTACTGCACTTTTACTGATCATAAGAATCAGTACACTGTTCCAGTAGAGGAGAGAGTGGAGAGAAAAAGGTAGTAGAGACGCTGATTAGTTCCATCCTTAAATATTCATATAAAATATAAAACAAAACATTCCTTAAGAAACTAAACAATTTCACTGTTGAATTATAAAAGCAAAAAATATTTTCCTCTCTGCTCACAGACACAGCTGGAAAAGACACAGTCAGAGGTGCAGGAGATGATTCAAGACAGACTGAAGAAGATCAAAGACGTCAAACAGTCAGTAGAGCTCAGAAAAGTGAGTGAAACATCTGCAGTTTTAAGCCAGGCTGAACTGCTTGAAGTGATGTAGGAGGAGCAGAAAGCAGCAGAGAGGCAGGCTGAAGACCTCACTGAAGAGCTGGAGCAGGAAATCACTGAACTAAAGAGGAGAGACACTGAGCTGGAGCAGCTCTCCCACACTGAGGACCACCTCCACCTCCTACAGGTCAGTGTCCCTCTATCTGCTCAATGACAATGCAACACATCACACAACAACATTGCCCAATGTACTTGTTGCATTACTTGTAGTTCACCATATTATATATTTTTGTCTTCCACAAACCCTTTTCAAAGTTTACTCAGTGTGATTCACTGGATGATGAATTAATTTATTATCTGTATATTCATATCACACACTGTGTGTTTCTCTCAGTGGATGTGACTCTGGATGCTGATACAGCTCATCCTGATCTCCTCCTGTCTGCTGCTGGAAAAGAAGTGAGAGACGGAGACATAAAACAGAAACAGACAACCCAAAGAGATTTGATAGATGTCCATGTGTTCTGGGAAAGAAGGGATTCTCCTCAGGGGGATTTTACAATCGGGGGAAGAAAAAGAGGGATTTAGGAGTGGTCAGAGAGTCCATTAATAGGAAAAGAGAAACTGATGCTATAGCAAGGATTCTGGACTGTGAGGTTGAGGAATGAGAATGACTATAGAGTTTGTGCTAATCCCTCAGTGCTCCTCTCCCTGAGAGAAAAGCTCCAGAAGGTGGAAGTGTTTGTGGATTATGAGGAGGGTCTGATCTTTTATGATGTGGAGTCCAGATCTCATATCTACTCTTTCACTGGTCAGTCATTCACTGTGAAACTATCCAGACTCCAGTCCCTGTAATAATGATGGAGGTAAAAACTCATCTCCACTGATCATCTCACACGTATCAAAAACTCAATAGATTATTTACAGTAATTGCAACAAGAACAGTAGAAAGAAACAGATTTGATTATTTATGATTCTGCACATAGAAAAATCATCAGTGTGGTTAAACGATCTGCAGTTCGAAGGAGGATCAAAATGTAGTGGTTCTGAAGTCCTGGGAGGTAAACTGCATAGTTTGGTGTTTAGATTGTGTACAGTTATTTTATCATTTTGTTGTGTAGCCAAAATAATACTGATTTTGAATACTTTTTTATTTTTTATTTTATTTGAATATTATTTTGCACAGTTATTCTGAGCTTCACTAAACTTTACTAAGAGTCATTGTGGAGTAATAAGTGAATATTACTGTGAAATATCTGAGTTTCCAACTAATTTCAATGTGTGGTTCTATGCCCCCCCCCACACCCTTGCTGGTTGTAGGCGGGGCATTAATTAGTGCACAATGCCTGCGTACTGTGTGTTTTCCCGGTCAATCGCCAAAAGCATTGTGAATGTTGACCGGGTAAGAGGCGATTCACTCTCTGCCGTATAGTTCTCTTTCTAAGAATAAAAAAGAGGTCTTTTAGTCATTGCTAAGGATACAAACACTACATTGTGAGGTCGCAGCACTGTTGTACGTGTATATGCAATGTTCTTTCCAAACTTATAAGCGTAAACAGTGCTTTTAATGTACTGCATGCACCTCGTTTTTTCCATGATCGTGCAGGCGAGAGAGAGAGAGAGAGAGAGAGAGAGAGAGAGAGAGAGAGAGAGAGAGAGAGAGAGCGAGAGAACGTCTGTGCATGTGCACTAATCCTGCCCCATGTCTCATGTGTTCAGGCATGTTTTGCTGTTGAATTTGTGCTGTTTAAAACAATTTGTTTGGAGCTTGGCAAATCACAATGGTTTGCTCACTGCGTGATTATAGTTTTTCCATATTGAAGCCTCTTTTCTGTTGTAGTCTTTCAGTGTTTCAGCCAGCTTAGATTCTGTGTTTTATGTTTAAACCTCTACTTAGTTAAATCCAGTTACAGTGGGTGCATGAGTGTACATTTAATATGAACTTTTTATTTACAATGATAATTATTTACATTGTCATTTCGATCTCACATCACTATTTACATTTAAGCTGTTCACAGTTTTTCAGTTTTATTGTCTTGATAAGTATATGTATATATATATATATATGTACCTTTGAAAAAAAAAGCATTGTGAATGCTAAACGGGCGAGAGAGAGAGCGAGAGAGAGAGAGCAAGAGAGTCTGCGCATGTGCACTAATCCTGCCCCATGTCTCGTGTTCAGGAATGAACTACACAGAGCTCCATATCCCTGTGTGCGGTGTGGCTGTTTGAACTGTCCTGATCTACTTTTCCTGCCTTGTTGATCGCAGACCTACAGTAGCACTTGTCCTTTTATCTTTAAATAAGAAACCTGACTGTCTTAAAAATGTGTAATCAAAGAAAATAAACCAGCAAGAATGCAGATTGTGTTCTCTGAAGTTCACCAGAGAATCTGAGCCAATTTATGAGTTTCCTGAACAGCACTGGGGAATCCGAGTTGACTGGATAAAAGAGAAAAGTATAAGTGAACGTATAAGCGCATATACAGTGTAAAATACTGATGTCTATTGTTGTGGGGAAACGTTTACGTATATATTGTGATTTATAAGATTCTCCTTTAATTTCCCAGCAGGGATTAAAACATAATGCAGAACTCTTAAATATCTCAGTGATATTAATTCATTGACGAAGAGCACATAGTGAAAGTAGTGCACATCTGTAAATGTGCTACATTGTGACCACAGTGATCTTTGACCCTCTCACTGTAACAGAGAATGTCAGATGAGGTTCAGATGTCAGACTTTATTCTTTACTGTGAGACTGAAGTTTTATCAGGTAATGAAATTGAATGTTGAGCCTCCAAACAGGCTGAACATGAGTGAAAATCCTTTAAGCGCCTTGAAGGGAGATTCCACATATTGTTCAAAATTTCTGCGTTATTAAGTAGTTAATATGTAAACAAAGACATTCAGAGTTGTTTGATCTCAAATATACCATTCTAGAGAAACTTACAGAGTCAGAATCATTCAGAGTGATGGTAATATGACCTAGACATCTGAAGAAGTGTTATAGACTCTAAAAGCTCCCTCACAGAAAGTTATTACATTACATTTTATATTGTTTTATGTCAGTTTTGAGATGGCTTTGTCCTAAAATGTATTTTAAAAATGGATTCATGCAGAAGAGGAACATGCAGGGAGTTTAAGGCAAAATAAAACCCCTCCAAATATTTTTTAGATGATTCAGGGTTCCCACAGATCCTTAAATGTTTTATAAATACAGTGTTACAGGCCTTAAAATAGATTTTAAAAATTAAAGCTCATATGATGTCAAACTGTCTGATTTTTTTATAATTAGAGGTATTCATTTCTAAGACAATGCCCAAAGACTGAGTTGAAAACAGCCATCATGTATATTATACTAATTCACCAAATACACCAAACACAACTATCCAGCTGACAGTGATCCTGACCACTGAGCTGAACTGATGATACCCAGAACACACTAAAGAGGTGTATATCATGTTAATTTCTCTTGTTTGATTTTCTGCCAATTTGTTTCAATATATTAGACATTAATTAATGCCGTATTTGAGTTCATGTACTGTATTGTGAGGTTTAAAAAGGCATTAATAGCACTTAATTAGATTTTTCAAACAGTGGAGTGGCCTTGACTTCATGTAATAACCAAAACAGTTTTCACACAGAGGTATCTTTCAAATAAGAGTATTCTGCAGCTATACTGTGACCATCGTCCACCTCCCTGCCAGTGAGCCTTGACTTCTGACCACTGTTCCTCTGTGCAGATGCAGGTGTCCAGATTTGGAATGTGTGGTCATAATTTAAGACTGTTCTCCTTGAGATATTAAATCATTTGGAGTTATTGTGATTAATGTACCTGCGGTTCAGACACTATTTGTCCTCTTTGGACTCTCTGATCATTGACTTGTTCTGGTAACTGACACTCAAACTAATATGACTGTAATATGACTGTATTAGCTGACTCTGTAAATGTGTTTTAGTTCAGTCAAAGCCACACATTGCTCATGCCTTATTTCTGTTATTTAGTCCATTTTATGTGTATAAACTCCTAATGGTTATTTTAGTAAAGCTTAATTCACTGAAGCTCAGAGTAAAATGTTCCTGTAATTAACAGATCACATGTTGCAGATATACAGCAGTGAGATGCTGGTCTTAAATGGTTAAATGCACTTTCAGTACTCGCTTATGACTGTTATATTTGTAACAATCGACTGTGGGACCGGCTGCGACCACCAGAGAGAGGCAGAGAGTCCTTTTTAGCAATCAGGGAAACACAATGCCAAGTACGGCTTTTATTCCTTTATTCTCAGGTCATTTATCCAGCGTAAGCATAAAGACTGCTCAGTGTGTTAAAAAACCTTCTTTTGTCTCCTTTCCTCTCTCACTGGAACCCGCAACGGCTTCCTTCCTTTTTTCACTTTTATTTCCTTTCCTGTCTTTGTCTTTTTTTTCACCTCTGACAAGGCAAGTTTATATTTTCTCTTCCTTTTATTCTTTTGCTTCCTCTTTCCCTCCTTCGATGTTTCTACTGCATATTAATGATTTTTAAAACATATCTTTATAATTTTTTGGCATTAAAAAATTGAAAGTATGCATTTCAAAAAAAGAAATACAAGATATGAACTCTTAATACACACCCATTCCCAATGTTGCCGTCATCTCTATATTCATGTAAAGAAAAAGAAAGAAAGAAAGCATGTATTTATACAGTTATTTTGCCCTCAAATATTTTTTTCATCTGCATTTCTCCGAGCACAGATGCTGTTGTAATATTATGAAGTAGTATTACTTTTAAACCTTCCAACTGAACTACACAGTCTGCACTGTGTTGAGAAGCAGAACGTCAACAACTGACATTCCAGAACTTCCTGAGAGAAAGTGAAAGTGAACGAAGCTGGAAGTTCACATCGAATAACAGCTTCTTCTTCACTTGCTGGATATTGAGAAACTCTGAGAAGAGTTTAAACACAGACAGTTCTGACTCTTCAAGAAGAAGACAGACAAAAATAAAGGTATGTACTTCAGTGAAAGATTCATAGATCAGAGGTTTAGTCAGTGTGAGCTTCATCACGGTGAACTACATGAGTAAACAAATTCAGATAAAGACGTTTAACACTGAGAAAGTGATCATATCAACAGCTGGAATACTGATGTTGAATACAATGTGATTATTGTCTCAAACAAGAAGCAAAAACACTCATTCAGGCAGAGCAGACAGTGAGAAACTGTGAATGATATTACTGAGCTGAGAGCTGTGATGATGGTCAGTATAAAGAGGAAAAGAGCTTTTACAGTCTGCAGATACAGAACAGTGTCATCTCAGGACCTCCAGTGTCTCTGCAAAAGTTTGTTCAAAGGACATGTTCTGTTGATTTTCTAGGTTAACATAAGTAGACGTCCTCAACAGAGAACACTTCTACACATTTTAATGCACAATTACTGTTTAGTTGCTGAATTTGACATTGAAAAATTATTAAACATAAAATGTGGCCTCTGCAAAAGATATTTTTTTTTACTTGGAGAAAAAAAAATAAAGAAACACAGACATTGATGTAGATGATGCTTAGAGAATCAACAAAACAAGCCATTTGAGCAGATGTAATCACATTTTAGCATATGACTATATAATACTGGTTTGAGTGAGTTTAAGGCAGCCAGCAAGTGTGCTGTGTTAAATGTGTGAGCTTAGTGATGTAATTTCTTACTGAAAGGTGTGAAGTACAAGGAGGAAGAAAATGGCTGAATCTTCATTACAGACACCAAAAGAAACAAGAAGGCAGAGCAAAGATCAAAAATGTAAGTGTAAGTTAAATTGAAATATCTCTTTTCAGTCAGAATGACCTTAATTTTGGTCTTGGCCAACTCAGTACAGTGTAATAAAAGTAAAATACAGAATGAAATACCTTTTCACATTTTCAGTGTCATGTTGAGGGCCAGTTGTGTCAGTCAGACAGCACAGATTATGACATCAAGTTATCACAATGTTTTATTTCTATTAGTTTACTTTTCATTCCACATGTATGAAAAATGCTCTAAAACAATCCATCCTTTTCAAGTTTATTTTGCACCGGCAGTCAAGAAAATTATTCAGATACACAAACACTGAGTTACAGGTTTATTAGATACTTACAGCTTTGAGGTTCACCTACCTTATATATCCACTATGTATATAATTACAGACTGTAGTCTGGTGTCCATTATCTATATCATTAATTTTTGGTCAGTTTAAAAACACTATACCAGTGTTGACTAGATATTATTTGGGTGGTTGGCCATTTTTTCAACACAGCATTGACACTGAAATGGTGATGGTATCAGGCACAGAAACTGCTACCTTGTAGTTCCACCTTGATGGAGTACAGTTAGAAACTTCAGCCCATCTGGTGATGCACCTTTTTTTTTAGTCATCCTCCAGCTCTTCATCGGTGGTCGGTTTATTACCACAGTGCTTGGTTAAATATATTTCGGGGGTGGACCACTCTCACTCTCAACTGAGGTGTGTCCCACCAACCCTGCTTTGCTGATACACTTGTACAGAGGCACTTGTTGTGGGCCTTCTGATTATTTCAACTTAGGCCCCTTGCCTCACCTCATTTATCTTAGCAGAAACTTTCAACACTAAACTGCACCAACATTTTAATGACTCCTCTGTTTTGTTATAGCACCATCACTTTGTGCTCTGGATAAACCTGAGGTTCTTTGTGATGTCTGCACTGGAGTGAAGCAGAAAGCCCTGAAATCCTGTCTGGATTGTGTTATGACATTTTGTATATCTCATTTAGAGCCTCATAATAATACTCCAAAACTTAAGAAACACAAACTAATAAACCCAGTGAAAAACCCAGAGGACTACATATGCCAGAAGCACAGGAGACCCCTGGAGCTGTTCTGCAGAGATGACAAAACATGTGTGTGTATGGTCTGCACTGTGACTGACCACAAGAAGCACAACACTGTTCCTGTAGAGGAGGGGATTGGAGAAATGAAGGTGTCTGAAAAGCTAATTAACATCAACTTTAAACATTCATATAAAATGAAACATAACATTTGTTAAGAAAATAAAAAAAATCACTGAAATATAAAAGTAAAGATCATTTCTTCTCTGTTCACAGTCACAGCTGGAGAAGACACGGACAGAAATGCAGCACATGATGCAATACAGACTGAAGAAGATCAAAGACTTTAAAGGCTCAGTAGAGCTCAGAAAAGTGAGTGAAACATGACATGTTATGATGTCCTCCTTCTGCAGATTCTATTTCGTTTTATACATAACTCAGTCCCAGAGATGTACTAGCCAGTAGGAGCACTGGGGCAATGCCTGATGGGCTGCTATGTGTGCGGGCTGCTGATGAAGTGAAAAAGGGAGAAACTGCGTTTAAGTATTTGCCCAACACATGTGCCAAAATGTTATTTCTAATGTAGCTCATATAAAACAAATGGAAACCGCCCGGGTCAAACACTCCAGTCAAGCTGTCCTCACCTGTATCACATGTACTCAAATTTTAGGAGATTTAGTGCATTACAAATGTGTTCTATGTTCATGGCCACAGCTTCTAGACAAATCTTTTGCAACAAACTACAACCTCGTTTCCAAAAAAGTTTAGATGCTGTGTAAAATGACTGTGTAAAAAAAATCAGAATCCAATGAGGAACAAATTGTTTCAACCCTATATCTAATTGAAAATAGTACCTTTGCTCAGCTAACCACCAAAGCCAGATCATTCAGTGTACTTGTAAACTCTACAGATGGCCATCTTAATGTTAATGTGATATCATACACTAATTAAGTCTGGGTAATTAGCTAGCTAGCTAACTAGCAGCTACTCCAGTTCTCAACCAAGCTATAATTTGTTTTACATTCATGCTCATGTATTTAGGAGAGATTAAGCAGTGCTAATTGTTGTTGCTGTAATAGTGGGCATTCACTGTTATTTGTTTCATTCTTCTTCCATCAGAGAAACACAGAGAAAGAGATTGCAGACAGTGTTGAAGTCTTCACTGCTCTTATGCGCTCCATTGAGAGAAGCCAAGCTGAGCTGGTAAAGGCGATGGAGGAGAAGCAGAAAGCAGCAGAGAGGCAGGCTGAAGACCTCATTAAAGAGCTGGAGCAGGAAATCACTGAGCTAAAGTGGAGAGACACTGAGCTGGAGCAGCTCTCCCACACTGAGGACCACCTCCAGCTCCTACAGGTCAGTGTCCCTCTATCTGCTCCAGTGGAAGACTCAGGCTGTTCAAAGGGCAGGGGTGAAAAAAAATGAAAAAAGACACCCATTGTACAACATGGGGTCCCTCCAGCACGCAAAAAGCTATGATGCATCATGTATGATGAAATAGTCTTCATGCTTGATTAAGATTAACATTATGTTATCAGGTGATCCAGATTACATAGAGAACTAGGGCCTTCATTAAGGCACATTATTCAACTTTCTTGCTCTGAAGGGCACATCACCCCATAATTCATGGCCTAAAGGGGCAACCTAGAGGGCACTTTAGTGACACTTTTTTAACCAGTTGCCCTCCTCACACCCACCCTGAATCTGCCAGTAATCTGCTCAACGACAGTGCAGCACATCACACAACACTACCCCTGCTGAGGGATTTCTTCTCTCTCCTGCTGGACTGTAGATTTACCCATCACTGTGCAGACCTCCACACACCAAGAACTGGACTGACATCAGTATTGACCCTCATCTGAGTGTAGAGCCTGTGAGAAACGCTCTCTCTGAACTTCAGACAAGTGTGGAGAAGATGTTGAGCGAATCAGGTGAGAAATGTTGATATCGTACATATAGTAAAAGCAATTGTTCATAACATGTTGTATGAAAAGAAAAAAATCGATGAAAAAATGTTTTGAGTAAATATTTTTATTGTAATTAGTCTCAACAGAGGTGAAGAGGATTCAGCAGTATGCAGGTACAGTGCAGCTTCTGGATTATCTGCTCTCTTTTTATTGTTTTAAATGCTTTTATATTTTATCATTTAATCATCATTGCACCACTTATACCCAAACTATATAATGTTCTATTACTCATATTTCACTGTAAAATTTGCTTTATTCTTCCACAAACCCTTTTCAAAATGTACTCAGTGTGATGGATCACTGAATGATCATCACTGGATGATGAATTTGTTTATTATCTGTATATTCATATCACACACTGTGTGTTTCTCTCAGTGGATGTGACTCTGGATGCTGATACAGCTCATCGCTATCTAATTCTGTCCAATGATGGAAAACAAGTGAGAGATGAAAAGAGAAAACAGAAGGTTCCTGACAACCCAAAGAGATTTAATGGATGTACTTGTGTCTTGGGAAAGGAGGGATTCTCCACTGGGAGGTTTTACTATGAGGTGCAGGTCAGGGGGAAGACAGACTGGGATTTAGGAGTGGCCAGAGAGTCCATTAACAGGAAGGGGAAGATTACACTGAGCCCACTGAAAGGATTCTGGACTGTGAGGTTGAGGAATGGGAATGAGTATAGAGCTTGTGCTGATTCCCCAGTCCTCCTCTCCCTGAGAGAGAGGCTCCAGAAGGTGGGAGTGTTTGTGGATTATGAGGAGGGTCTGGTCTCATTTTATGATGTGGAGTCCAGATCTCATATCTACTCTTTCACTGGTCAGTCTTTCACTGAGAAACTCTATCCATTCTTCAGTCCCTGTAAAAATGATGGAGGTAAAAACTCAGCTCCACTGATCATCTCACCCGTACCAAAGACTGAATAAACTTTCAGTTGTAACTACAATAGGAAAACTACAACAAAACAGATTTAATGTTTTCTGATACACTATGGGAGAAAACTGTTATCTACTGTTTACTTACAACACACACACACACACACACACACACACATTTTCTAATCCGCTTATCCTTCTGGGTCGTGGAGAGAGCTGGAGCCTATCCCAGCAGTCATTGGGCGGAAGGCAGGAAACACCCTGGACAGGTCGCCAGTCCATCTCAGGGCAGGCAGACAGACATATACATTCACACACACATTCACACCTAGGGGCAATTTAGCGTATCCTAATGGCCTGTGGGAGGAAACCGGAGTACCTGGAGGAAACCCACGCAGACACGCGGAGAACATGTAACATCTTGATCATTCATTCATACTGTTACATATATTGTCACTGAATGTAGGTATCAAGGGTCAGCATATACTCTTTACTGTCTGACTGAAGTTTTTCTCAGATAGGAAATTGGAAAAGAGTAGCCAAATGGGAAATTCTCTCATTATGATGTGCACAGTCATTCAGAGTGGTTTGGTGAAATGCTCTGTTGCAATACTCCATTCTAGAGAAAGTTACTGACTGAGAACCATTCACAATGGTGGTGATAGGAACCAGGCATCTAACATGGTTAAATCCTTTAAAAGCAAATCACAGAACATTATTTGTTGAAATGGTTGCAAATACACTGCATGATGCCAGAGACACTGTTTTATGAGGAGAGAATAAAAAAAAACTTAATTGTATTCAAATTTGTTGAAAGTGTGTTGTAGTAGCAAATGTATGTACTTAAAAAATACTAAACTATATTAGTAAAATAAGATTTCATCATTGATTACAAGTAAAGTTTGACAACACTTTTGAAAAATGATGATATAGTACAATTTTTATAAATCATTTATTGCATATACATTTAGTTACAATTTTGCATAATTTATTATACAGATTATATGGATACTAGTTTTCAAATACATTTTTGGCATGATATGTTACTACTAGCACAAATGGCTGCTTTTGATTACCTGCAGGGGGTGCTCATGTCTGCTCCTATTGTAACAAGGACTTACTTTGCTGTCCCTTTGAAGATACATACAGACAACTTTAAAGAGTCTGTTGGGGCAGTGTTAGTGCAGGACATTGATGGACCTGAACATGTAGTGGCCTGTGCCAGTCAGGCTCTGACCCATGCACAGAAATGGTAGACAACTTTTGATAGAAAGCTTTGGGCTGTTGTGCAGGAGTTTACACACTATGTGGGGCTGTCTACATTCACAATCATTACTGTTCCTCAACCTTTACTGGGTCTTCGGTGCATGACCATTGATAATGACCCAATAGGGCAGCCAGATAGATGGTGCTGAGGTTGGATGCCTTTGACTAGGTCATTGTTCATGAGGATGAATATGGACACACTATCTTGCTGTAAAAACCTGATCCTGGAAAGCTGGAGAACATTGCTGCTGGTGCGCATAATATTGACAGCTGGACAGCTTTTTTACTGGCCCTGGTGACAGTTCCAACATGGCCCAGGGCCTGGCCTACTCACTCTCACATGATGGCTCTGAGGTAAGGTCTTTACAACGGGACGATCCAGATATTGCAAAAGTCCCCTTCAATTCACACTGCCCACTTTTCAGCTGAACGTGACTGGGAAAAGGCTAGACAGACATGTGACTGGCCATCCATGTTAAGAGACATGAAGTATTGGTGTGTACAGTGCCAAGAGAAAGGGCTTCTGTGGGGGGGTCTATAGTTAGTTAGCTGCCCGCTACAGAGAGTGACTGCAGACATTTTGGAGCTGCCTGAGACAAAAAAGGAGAAAAAGTATGTTTTTGTGTGCACTCCCTACCCTTGTATACTAAAGTAGTGCTACCAAAGTAATATACATAAATTGATTTATTTTTGGAACCACCAATTTGTACTAAATCACTACTAATGTGTACTTTATATATATTTAAATCATGCTTTATGTATGCTAGATATACTAGCCATGTTTAATTTTTGCCACTCTTAAAATAAAATTTAACTATACTAGCCTGTGCTGCCAACTTGAACTCAAAAAATACATTTAAATTGAGCTAAAAGTATGTTTGTAATACTAATTGCATGCTCTTTAATAAGAAAGTTAGTATATCAAGTTAGATTTCCAGTATATTGTCAGTATATTTGCAGATATAGTTAAGTATATTTGCTGAATCCTTGTGTTCTTGCAATACTGGTTCAGTATACTAAAGTACTAATGTACAAACATTTGTCTTAAAATCACAATGGTTAAAACCACAGCCAACAGTTTCTTGACTACAAAAGCTCCTCTGGTGTCAGAACATCATCAGGGGTGTGATGCCTTGACAAATGTCAAAGTTTGTCCAGTGTGTCCTCTTGCTATCTCATTACAGCCCTGAGCAGGCTCAAGATGGAGGAATACCAAAAGGCCATAACCTTCCTCCAGGACATCATCCATCTGTTCAGTGGGATGGAGATTGGTCCAAAGGGAGGTTGGAATCCTGTTCAGACTGGGATAACAATGACAACAACATCAATTTTGGCCACACAGGAAAAGATGCTGACACGAACACACAGGTTTGTGTTAACATCAGGGTTCACACAAGACAGCCTTGAAAATACATTCAGCTGTGTGAGGTCTAAGAATCCTGTCTCAGCTCCAGTGGAATTCCATCATGCACTGCAAATCATATCTGTGGGGCAGTTCCTCACCACCATCAGGTCTAGGAGCTACCAGGAAGATGACAGTAACTTTTTGTCAGAGTTCCTAGATACAGTATAGCAAAATATCACTCCATCAGTCAGAGTGGAACAGCAGATGGTGGTGAACAGAGCTGCAAGTGACCTCACAAAAACAGAGAATTGTATTCTCTTCTGTCTTGCAGGCTACATCATTCACAAAGCCATCAGGTTTGGCAGCATCTGTCAAAAATGCTAACTTGTAACATAGCACAACGATGACAGTCCTGCTGGAGAAAACAACATCTCAGTGAACTTAAATAGGTTCAAGGTAGGTGTTCTTTGTCGTCCCTCCCAAGAAGCATTTGACTTTATTCACCCAACTAAGAAATTATTTAGGACCAAGACTGGTTCCTCCCTCCTGAAGCTCCCCAACACAGTGAGTGTCATTGCAATGGAAACATCTGGATTAACCTCTGCTCCTACAAGTGCCCCAGCACCCAGCCAACATCACTGCTCCTCCACTTACAAGCACCCAGCCTACATCACTGCTACTCCACCTCCTGTCACCCAGCCAACATCCCTGCTACTTCACCTCCTGTCACCTAGCCAACATCACTACTCTTGACTTGTAACATCATTGTGGTTCTCGGCACTCCTAACCTACAACATCGTCATCACCACCATCACTTGCCCCAACCACTCCTGACATATAACATTACTGTCATCCCCATGAAGCACTTCAGTGTACAGCGTGCAGCATCACTGTAGCATGACCGCTTCAAATATATATGTATATTACTGGTTTAGTATACCCTGTTGTGATTTTCATCTCACCATAGTCCACTCAGCACTCCTGACCTGTGGCATCACTGCTCCTCCATGCAGCACCCAGTGCACTTACAGTAGGGTACTAATATACACTAACAAGATTATTTATAAATATAATGCAGTAATGGAATACATGTTTAGTCTGATTGTTCATATAGTACAGTAATATAATATTTCAGTATTTACTGTGAATTCCCATTTAGTCTAGTGTGATTAATTTTTCAAAATTGCTGGCCTATTTTAAACTCTCACTTAGGTCCCACAACTTCCCTTTTCCAGCAATACACAATCAGCTGAGCTGCAACATAATATAGACAGGTAATAATCAGCAAAATCACAAAGCCTACAAACACTCAATACACAAGTTAAGTTTTTGTTTATTGTTTAGATGTCTCAAATATACACTCTAAAGCCATATCAACAGTGATATATCACAAAAAATAGCTCTATTCCTTATTATTATGCTCAGACTCCTAAAATGGATATCCTTTTACCTCCTCCCTCCACCCACCACTTTACAATTACTCTTCTCTTACTATTAACTTCTCCAACCCCACCCCCCAAAAAATCATGTTTAGAAGCCTGTTTCTCTAATTCAACAATGTTGGAAGAAATTGTATTAAGAAGAGGGAATTTACAATTAATAAGCAGTTATGTATTGCTAACTTTATTCAGTATCCTAGTCTAATCTGTTTAGTGGGGGGTAATCTAGTAACATGCTTTAATATACATGTTAATTTGATTCTGATGTGCTGATAATATACATGTTAATTTGATTCAGAGGTGCTGATAATATACAATCTGATTCTTTAAAAGTCTTACCCTTTAAAAGTGCATCACAAACGGTCTATTCTGCTGCAACTCTGCTGCACTGCTAGTATTTGCTGCTAACTTCCAGGAACTATTGAGAAGCTCCACGATCCACTGTGAGAGTTACAAGCTTGACATCATAACAACAGAAGAACCTTTCTTGGTGCTATATCGAAACGCATACAACACAGTGCCCATCAATCTGAAGAATGATTTAGCCATGCAAAGGACCATTTAAGCATTAGAAGAACCATCTTTTTTAAGAGTGTACATGAAGTTTAAACTCTGTAAGAACAGTAACCTAAGAGCCTGACAGTGTGCTTGGTTGAAAGTAGCACTACATTCCTAAATGTTCTTTTCTCATAAAAACAGCTTTAGATATTAGCTAATGTTTTGAAAAGTGCAGGGGGTGAAGATCTGAAAACTTGATCAGGCTACACATTTAATTTTTGGTCCATTTAAATGCATTAGGCTCTTTGTTTGGACTCAAGAGAGTCTGACAAGTTGTTTTCAAAGGCTTAGTGACCTGTGTTAACCAATGTTCCTCTGTCCGTCTCTTAGCAAGAGACTCGCAATGCACATTGGTATGGATTCAGCTGATGTAGTGATTACTAGTATTCATTAGAAATCACAAGTGCATGCATTGTGGGAGACTGCAGTAACCTTAACATCACTGTGGAATTCCATTTTACTATTTAGACACTAAGAGAAAAATGGTCAGCATCCTAATTAGTTCTGTAAATGCAGAAAGGGATCCATTTCATTCAGAGCCTATGATTTAGTTTTGTCATTTAAATGTGGGCTGGTGAAGCTGGCCTAGTGGATTCACAGGCCAACAGACCAGCCTCTCTATATGTGGTGGTACAATTTACAAACACAATTAAAGATATGAAGATGGTACTAACTGCATTATTCATTTGAGCTTTTTCTCTTTAGATATTTTCTTTGAAAAAAAATGTTATAATACAAATACATTGTGCACAGCCAAAGTCTAGATGTCAAACTGCAGTTTTAAACACTGCCATCCCTACAGAACACCCTAATTGTGAAGGCATAATGCATGAGTGTGATGTCACAACTTCCTGGGCTCAGAATGTTCTCATTCCTGGTCAGGTTGATAAGAAGAACACAGCAAATTAGCATGTCTGAAGCACAATTTACAGTCAAATTTGTTGGAGAAAAGTAAAACTGCAAGTCTTGTTTAGTTCATACAGCTGAACACGATGGAGAACTGCTCTGCACCAAGAGGTCATTTTATACATTCCAGTTTGAGGTGTTTTTGGCTAACTCTGTCAGTTTGCCATGTTGTCTTATGATTAAGGTGGCTGATCAATTTTTAGATTTTGGCTTGAGGATAAAATGGTCCCTCGTCAGAACATTTCATGGACACCAGCACATTATATTGAAATATCAGAGCACATTGTTTTTTCACAACAATGGCACTCAAAAGTACCATTACTGCTTCTATGTAACTTTTCAAGTCATCATTTTCAGATGCCCCTAAAACAAAAAGGAAAAGGACTGAGGAGAACTGCAGCCACAGTGACACACAAGGGAACGAACAAGAGTTCTCAAACAAGAGCTCCAGCAAGAAAGAAGAGAAAGAGGGCTGCGAACTTGCTCAGTAGAACGACCCAGAGAGAGAGGAAAGACACAAAGCAAGGTCAGCCGATTACCCAGAACGTAACCATGACCTACACTTTATTTCATTTCATTGAAGATAATTATGATATAACAAATCAAGTTACAGATTCGCCAGTAATTTAAGAAACTAAACCCTGCTGCTTTTCTCATAGCCAGTAAATGTTGATTGACAAACTTATGATGAATGGTCTAATGAGAGCTAATACACAATTTTAATGTTCTTTTCCCACAGACACCTTTGCCTCTCGCTATGTTATTGGGGAAAAATTAGGTGAAGGAGGCTTTGGAGCTGTCTACAAGGGAAGACGTGTTTTTGATGACTTGCAGGTTCTGCTCACATCTCAAATTACATTTTAATTGTCAGTATTTCCGCTCTTCCTTTTTCAGTGCTAGTGATCTTAATCAGTTTTCTCTTTGCGTGTAGGTGGCCATCAAAATCGTCTCAAAACAGCACGGGCAAGGACGTTATGTTCAAAGTGTAAGTGCACCTGCAAACCAGATTTTGCTCTCAAAGCCAAACCAATAGTCATACTAGTAGTAACACATGATGGTCCTTTACCAGCCTATAAGTTTTTGTCTATGTTCTTCACTGATAATTCCTCACCATGTAACTACTTCTCTGCAGCCTGTTGAGCCTAAGGCTGTGCCTGTGGAGGTGGGTCTGTTGCAGGTAATGAGCCAGCCGCCCATCTGTAACAATATAATACAGCTCATCGAGTGGTTCAACGAGCCTTACCGTTACATCCTAGTTTTGGAGCGCCCAGATCCTTGCACAGATTTGGAGAGCTTCACTGATTACTTTGGAGGTTCCATTGATGAAGAGAGAGCTTGTGCCATAATGCTCCAGGTACTAGAGGCAGTATGCCAGTGCTGCAAGAGAGGTGTCATGCACCGAGATATCAAACTGGAGAATATTGTGATCAACACAGACACCTCAGACGTCAAGCTTATTGACTTTGGCGGCGGAGATTGGATCAGGAAAACTGGTTATAACGTATTTGCAGGTAGGATGGAGTCTAGGACACTAAGGGACAGTATCAGATAAAAAGGTACTAAACTGTCACTGGGGTGGTACAGTTCACGTCACTGAGGTGGTAGCCTCGAGCGCATGTCTTTAGTATCGTTAGTTTAGGAACTGTATTCAATTGCAATTATATTTTTAAGTAGCACCGTGTCTTGAGTCAATATTTAATGTATTGTACATTTTTCAAACTGCATTTATGGTACAGAGTTGGACCAAAAGACTGTTGTTGTACCCTTGAAAAACGTGCGTTGCTTTTGCCATACAAACAAAATGAACCTGTACAGTTCCCTTTTTTCAGTGAACTGAACTGCTTGTTTTTCTCCCTCTTTTATGTTCTTAGGCACATTTGAGTACTGCCCTCCTGAGTTCCTTCTCAAGGGGAGGTATCATGCCAAACCTGCCACAGTTTGGTCTCTAGGTGTCCTACTGTTCAGGGTGGTTTATGGAAACCTTCCCTTTACAGAGGAGGAGGATATCGTTGATGGGCTTCTGTACTTCAAAGACGGCCTATCCAATGGTAAGATAAATGGGGGCATCCTGGTATAAAAGAGCAAAACCATGACTGGCTCTCACTGTGTAAAGAAATGCAGAAAAAAACTGAAGAAATTTATAGCTGTAAGTGAATTTGCAGAGTAAAAATGAAGAGGCCAGGTGTCCCTAAAAGTAAAAGTTCATAGTAGTGTACTTTGCATGATAGTGCTTTGGAAATTTAGTGCTGAAACATCCTTTTTTCATCCAATCCCATCACTCTGCACAGAATGCTGCAATCTGATTCGCTGGTGCCTGCAGTACAACCCAACCAGGAGGCCTAATTTGCAGCAGATCAAGCAGCATGATTGGTTCAGGTGCAACGTGACAGCCTATCATAATGACAAAATATCGTAATACATATCATGTATCATAATATGTTCTTTTTTCATATCACTTATCCCTACATGGAAATGAAAATTAAGATCAAGTGTTCAAGATTTAAAGCTTCAGTAGGTCTTCTATCGGTAACTAATGCATATATATATTTTTTTCAGGTTATGAAATGTTTGGAGGAGGGTAGTTAAGAAGAATTCACACCCAGGATCAGCTCAAAAATTTAAATGATATTTGAGGTAAAGGCTGTGACTGAAACTCCTCCTAATTCCCTTCTTAAATGCTATAAAATACCCTTCTGTCCTTTCTCTATGACAGGATTTCACACCAACCAGGCTAACCTAGCATTGCCTCGCAATGGACCTAAAGATCACCTTCGACGATAACCTCTTCCCTGGCCTTCCTCCCTGGGTTCCCCATGTTCTATGCTGACATCTCGCAGTGAACTCTAAACACTGCAGTGTGCTTCCCAAAGGCCATCTCCACTACAATAAAAGCCATTTTGCTCCTGATTGGCCTACAGTCATAGTTTGTTGGTTTTCAAATGCATATTTCTGCAATGAACTTCTTGAAAAGTCAGTTTATCCTAGAATAATAAAATGTTCTCCTTTTTATAAGACTGTTTAAGCTGTTTGTCTGTTAACAGTTACTGATGTCATGAAGTAGCCTGAGCTGAAAGTTTGGCATACATAGCAACAGCAACTAAGGGAGGCATCCAATAAGAACACCCTAACTGCCGTTTCGGATCAGAATTATGAGAAAAACCTAAAAAGCACAAATTTGACCTCTAAAACAACAGTTCCTTAAGAGCCCTACAGTGTGCTTGGTTGTTCAAAATAGCATTATATTCGTAAATGCTAACGGCTAAGTGCACAGCAGAAAAACCCAAACTAAACCAGAGAATGTGTAGTGAGAAGACTTGCCATTCAATAATGCCTTCTGGGTCTGTCACACGCTAGAGGGCGCTCCCGAGCAAAGTCCAAAATAGAGCTATGGAGAGTGGGGTCAGCTCGGCCCTTTTTGGTCTAGTTTAGTTTTGCTCTAGTTTAAATACATGCTTTTTTGTTCCTAACAGGCATGTAAATAACATTATTCACTGTTTAAGTAATGCTTTATTCAAAGGCTTGAACTTAAAGTCTGTCTATTATTATTGTAGCATTAGCCTCATACTCAGCTAGCCATTTGCTACATGGCCAGCCTGCTAGTGAGGGCAGAATATAACCAGTCATAAAGAGAATATACTGTAAAAAGTAGTAAAAAGTGAGTCTTAACAAAGAAGTAAAAGTGAGTCTTAGTAATAAACAATGATGTTCAAATGGCAGTTTATTACGTGGTTGCATTTAATGGACACAGATTTTAATACTAACGATTGGCCTTTTTCACATTATGAGTCATTATGAAGCCATAGTCTCATATCTGCTGAAGCTCTGCGCTTTTAACATTGCTGTTCTTGCTGGAATTTAATTTTCACTCAGCTGCACTGACAGGTGCAAATTGCATGTTATCCCAGAAACACCTCAGAGAGGTTAAAGAATAGTTCAAAAGGTGAGCATACGTTCTGTAATATCACTAAAAATGATAATGAGCAACACTTCCATTCCATAACCAGATATTTCAGCCATAATCTCAAAACACATCGTGTGGTCATGTGAAAAATAAGGTGGACAGACTATGGGTTTTATAGGGTGCGTCCACCTCCCGGTCAGTGAGCTTTGACTGCTGACCCCGTTTCTCTTTGCTGACGCAGGTGTCCAGGTTTGAAATGTGTGGTTATGATTTTAAGACTGTTCTCCTTGAGATATTAAATCATTTGGAGTTATTGTGCCTAATGTACCTTCAGTTCAGACACTATTTGTCCTCTTCGGACTCTGTTTGTTTCTCCTGTTGATGTGAAAACTCACATATGAAAGTGCTGATAGTCAGAACTCTCTGATCATTGACATGTTCTGGTAACTGACACTCAAACTAATCTGACTCACCTGTATTAGCTGACTCTGTACATGTGTTTTAGTTCAGTTTAAGTTACACATTGTTCATGTCTTATTTCTGTTATTTTGTACATTCCCTGTATATAAACTCCTACTGGCTATTTTAGAAAAGCTTTATACGTTGATGTTCATAGAAATGTCCGATCATATGTTGCAGACAGAAAGCAGTGAGATACTGGTCTTAAACGGTCAATTACACTTACAATGCTCGCTTATGAATGATATAATGCAGTGAATACTATGTCTACACTTTCTAACTAGCCTGCACAACCTGTGTTATGTTAAGAATTAAGTTGTCCTTATCTGAATCCATTCCATTCCAAGGAAGTACCGTCACAGCGGGTAAGAGAAAGCAAAACTAAATGACAGATGACATTGAATAACAACCTTCTTCAGTGCTGATTTGAACTGCTAGACATTCAGAAACTCTGAGAAGAGTTTAAACAGAGACAGTTCTGACTCTACAAGAAAAAGACAAAGAGAAAAAAAAGGTATGTACTTCAGTGAAATATTCATAGATCAGACGTTTTGTCAGCTTCATCACGGTGAACTACATGAGTAAACAAAGTCAAATGGAGATGTTTAACACTGAGACATTGATCAGATCAACAGCTGTAATACTGATGTTGAATACAATGTATTTATTGTCTCAAACAAGAGAAATAATACTTCATGTTCTCTGATGGAGCTTGTAAACTGAGCTGTTAAACAGGTTGAAAGGTTGTTGTGTTGTGTTAAGGCAGCAGGCAGGTGTGTTGTATTAAATGTGTGAACTGAGTCATGTGATTTCTTACTGAAAGGTGTTTAATAGGAGGAGGAGGAACATGTCTGAATCTTCATCACAAGAACCAAGAGAAGTAAGATGGAGCAGCATGGATAGACCACCATCAACCTGTAAGTTAACACAGCTCCCTTACAAATAAGTGAAATATCTTTTTTCAACTCAGGATTCTCTTAACTTTGATCTCGTCTGTATCAGTACAGTGAAATCAAAGTAAAACAGGTTACTCACAGTAGAATAAAATGCTTTTCACATTTTCAGTGTCATGTTGAGGTTTTAACAATCACAGCAACAGTAGTGTAATGACAGTGGTGTCAGTTAGACAGTGCTTACAGCTTACTATTTTATTTCTGTTAGTCTACTTTTCATTCTTCTTTCTGTTCTAAAATGATGCACATTTTCTAATTTAATATCACATTGGCAGTTAAAAAGAAATGTTCAGATAGAATTTTATTAGATACTCCTGTCTTGTACTTGTGAGGTCCGTCTACCTTATTGTTTGACTTGGTGTATTAATACAGTACTTTTGTTGTCATCCACCCTCTACCTCATTCATCATTAGTTATTTTTTGAGGACAGGAGTGCTGACCAGTAGTTGTTTGAGTGGTGGACAATTCTCAGTACAACAGCAACACTGACGTGCATGGTATCAGACACAGAAATCTGTCTCTATAGCTCCATCTTGCTGGTGTACAGTCTATTGATGCACAGTTTGTCTTAGTAATTCTCTAGCAATTCTCTAGCAATACTCTGTGTTCTGACCACAGAGCCACTTTTGGCTGAACATCTTAATGTGGTGAAGTAAAATGCAAAACTTTTTGTTGTAGTTTATTTTATCATTTACTGTTGAGTAAAAATAAATACTTTACACTGTGTAGCCATGTGTTTTATAGATTTTCTGTCCTCTTGGAATATTTTGTTCAGGGCAAGATAAATACTTTTTTGTATATGAATCATTTTTGTTATTCAGATTGACAGACATTTACTATTAGCTGTAATAAGAGCTATTAACTGTTTATAATACTTGACATCAATTGAACTTGAAAGACAAAGCTGAATACTATTCATTATCATATCAATGACAACAGAGCCACATGTTCACATCATGTGCTCTGCATTCTAGACAGATGAGTCACTACATGAGTCCCCTCTTCTCTGTGTTGCCCCTCTGTGTTTCAGCTCCAGTCAGCATAAATAAGGTGTAAACAGTGGGTTTTTTTGGATTTTCTGAATGCTCTGAGGATCATAGTGCTCTGGTCACTTGCTTTATGCACTACAGAGACATCAGGAGAGTGTGCTGGACCAAAACACACACAGTATGTGATGTTTATGGAGAGTCAAAACAGAGTCATATCTTCTTATTTTATGAAGAAATCTGATAGACCCACATAAAGCAAGGCTGCCGTGAGGCCCCACCCCTTCCCCTCCAACCAGAGTGCCAAAATTACTGCTAATGTTATGATGCTGTCCACAGAGCAGGCATATTAATGAAGAGCTACAAAATGACACATGAAGCATTCTTGAACTATAAGAGCATTACATTCTTGATTGCCCTGAACCTTTCTCCGTAGAAAAATGAAGGCAGCTTAAGTCATTAACTGATTGTGGAATTAAAGGGAAACGCAGGCTCTGTTGAGATCAAGACTCAAGAAACTGTTTATGTACATTTTAACAATTTTTCATGCTTTGCGTATCCTAATGAGAGATGCTTTGTATAGTTAAAAATGAACAAGAGCACACAGTGTCTTATTTGTACAACATTCAACACACTCTTTAGTTTGTCTGCAGCAATATTACAGTTAACTAACTGTAAACATGAGTTTGTGAAATCCTGTTCATATGAGTTTTCTCTAGCATTGATCCACACAAAATCAATTTAAGAGATAAACACACTGAGGTGTTCAGAATATAAAAATGAAGAAGATTTAACATTTTTGCATGCAGTTAGTATATAATATGATGTGTACAAAACAGTTCCTTTGCTTTAGTGAGTTGTCTTTGAGTTTCATGTGTATATGATTTAACACGTGAATGTACATCGGTTTCATGTTTCTATACTCACCTGATTGGTTTCTTACTTAATAATCTGTTCTAAGTTTTACATACAGCAAGGCTGTGATGGTGCAACACATTTCACAGAGACATTGTGTGAGTGCTATGAGAAATGGTACGTTCAAAGGTACCTCCTGAAACGTATGTGTTTACTTGATTCATGCTTAAAGTTCATACACTTTTCATATTTTTGTTCCATGGAACTTATTCATGACAATAAAATGGCTCAAAATGACTCACAATAATACATTGAAATAAAATGACTGAAATAAAAATTGGAGGCATGTTTTTCATTGAACCATGACAATATTCAAATAAACCGATTAGGTGCACAAACACTATCATGAGTTGGTAGGGTTCACCTTAGGGGAGTCCTAGTCTAGAGCTGACAGTGGTCATGAACGCAAAAAAAGGAATTAACAAGATGGTGATAAACACTCTTAGTTTCTTTCCGTTTTAGTGTTTATCAGTAACCATTACTTTAAAACAATCTTTGATCAATTCATTTTGATTGCCAGTGTGTATAAATACATTAAATTACAGATAAAAGTTTAAAAACTTCTTTTTCTTCCCCACTCGTCCACAGTTGCTCCTGATCCCAGTGGTCTCCTGTCTGAAGATCAGTTCCTGTGTTCTATCTGTCTGGATGTGTTCACTGATCCAGTCTCCACTCCATGTGGACACAACTTCTGCATGAAATGTATTAAAACATGCTGGGGTGACAGTGAGCAGTGTCACTGTCCATTCTGTAAAGAGGAATTCACCAAGAGACCAGAACTCAAAGTCAATACAGCATTCAGAGAGGTTGTAGATCACTTCAAGAAGAAAAATGCTCTGGATAAACCTGAGGTTCTTTGTGATGCCTGCATTGAAGTGAAGCAGAAAGCCCTGAAATCCTGTCTGAATTGTGTTGTGTCTTTTTGTGAGTCTCATTTGGAGCCTCATAATAATGTTCCAAAACTTAATAAACACAAACTAATCAACCCAGTGAAGAACCTGGAGGACTACATATGCCAGAAGCATGAGAGACCCCTGGAGCTGTTCTGTAGAGATGATAAGACGTGTGTGTGTCTGTTCTGCACAGAAGGAGATCACAAGGATCACAACATTGTTCCTATAGAGGAGGAGAATGGAGAGAAAAAGGTGGGAGAAATGCTGATTAACACCAACCTTAAACGTCCATTTAAAAAGTTACGAAAAACAATTTCACTGTTAAAATAAAAAACAAAATAATAAAGCAATTCTGCTCACAGACACAGCTGGAGAAGACACAGTCAGAGGTGCAGCAGATGATCCAAGACAGATTGAAGAAGATCAAAGACATCAAACACTCAGTAGAGCTCAGAAAAGTGAATAAAACAACTATTTCAATCAGATTACAGATTAGATTTAATTTTGTAGAATGTATTAACATTAATCATATGCTCATCATTCACTGTTATTTGCTTAAAGTGTAAAGTTGTTCTTCCATTAGAGAAACACAGAGAAAGAGAAAGCAGACAGTGTTGAACTCTTCACTGCTCTGATCCGCTCCATTGAAAGAAGCCAGGCTGAGCTGCTTGAGGTGATGGAGGAGAAGCAGAAAGCAGCAGAGAGGCAGGCTGAAGACCTCATTAAAGAGCTGGAGCAGGAAATCACTGAGCTAAAGAGGAGAGACACTGAGCTGGAGCAGCTCTCCCACACTGAGGACCACCTCCTACAGGTCAGTGTCCCTCTACCTGCTCAATGACAATGCACCACATCACACAACAACACTGCCCATGCTGAGGGATTTCTTCTCTCTCCTGCTGGACTATAGATTTACCCATTACTGTGCAGACCTCCACACACTAAGAACTGGACTGACATCAGTACTGACCCTCATCTGAGTGTAGAGACTGTGAGGAACACTCTGTCTCAACTTCAGAAGAGTCTGAATGAGACACTCACTGAAACTATTACTGAAAAGATCAGAGATTCAGGTGAGAAACATTTATATTCTACATGTTTTTCAGACAGAAATCTGTAGTAGCAAGAATCATTAATCAGAGATTATATGAAAAATAAGTAATCAGTGAAAATACATTTTTGGTAATCTATTATTTTATAGCTTTATAGAATTAGAGTAAAATTAACATCCACTTTTTTTAATTCAAATTAGTCTCAACAGACCTGAAGAGGATTCAGCAGTTTGCAGGTACAGGGCAGCTTCTGGATTTTTCTGATATTATATATTATGATTTTAAAATAATTTTCATTACACCTCTTCTATTAATACAATATATTAATTTTATTACTTTTAATTCAGCATAAAATATAGTTTATTCTTCCACAAACCCCTAATTAATTCATCATAAGAGTGACTGGATGATTATTTATTATCTGTATATTCATATCACACATTGTGTGTTTCTCTCAGTGGATGTGACTCTGGATGCTGATACAGCTCATCCCAAACTCATCCTGTCTGATGATAGAAAACAAGTGACACATGGAGACACAGAACAGAATCTTCCTGACAATCCAAAGAGATTTGATAGATGTCAATGTGTCTTGGGAAAGGAGGGATTCTCCTCAGGGAGATTTTACTATGAGGTGCAGGTCAGGGAAAAGACTGCATGGACATTAGGTGTGGCCCTAGAGTCCATTGACAGAAAGGGGAAGATTAAACTGAAACCACAGAATGGGATCTGGGCTGTGGCTCTGAGGAATGAAAATGAGTATAAGGCTCGTGCTGATCCCTCAGTGCTCCTCTCACTGAGAGAGCAGCTCCAGAAGGTGGGAGTGTTTGTGGATTATGAGGAGGGTCTGGTCTCCTTTTATGACATGGAATCCAGATCTCATATCTACTCTTTTACTGGTCAGTCTTTCACTGAGAAACTTTATCCGTACTTCAACCCCTGTATTAATGATGGAGGTAAAAACTCAGCTCCACTGATTGTCTTACCCCTATCAAAGACTGAATAGATTTTTAACAGTAGTCTCAACAGGAATAGCAGAAATAAAGTGATCTAATTATTTTAAAGTGATCGAATTATTATATTATTCTATGTAAAGAAAAATCATGAGTGTGGATAAACTATGTCAAATGGTTTCCATAAATAAACTTTGTTATCTCTGCAAAAAATAATGGGGTAGGCCAGGGTTGCCATAGCAATATGTGTCCAGCAGTCCATAAAAACATAATCTGAAGTCTATTGGAAGATTAAAATTTAGGATCTAGAAGAAAAGTCTTTATTTTAACCTAAAAAAGGAGAGTAAGTAGTCTGGTTGTTTTAAATGTTTGGTATCAATTAAAGTAAATTAACAAAAAAAAATCTGGTTGTGTTCTCTTAACTACAGTGGAGAATCTGAATTGACTTAATAAAGTTTTTTATTTTTTTACAGTGTAACTCAAACTTCAACTCTTGAAGTAAACTGAGTCTAAACTCTGCAGTGGTCATTACATCACAGTGTTGAGTTAATCTTAAATAATGTAGTTAAAGTTAATGTAAATTAGGGGTGTCTAGTCGTACATTTACATTTACATGTACAGCATTTAGCAGACGCTCTTAACCAGAGCGACTTACAAAAAGTGCTTTGTTGTCTACTCAGAGAAAGTATCTTTGCTAGTTACAAACAGGTTAGAGAGAAAGATAGTCCTGAGCTCAGATATTGCTAGAATAAAGCCGATGTTGATACCTAGAGAAAAAGAAATAGAATTAAACATAGCGCAATACAATTTGTTTCAATAAGAGCAGTACAGTACATTTCAATATGTACTTAAGTAGCTTAGTGTTCACTTAAGCGATGTAAAAAGATATGTGTCTTTAGTCTGCGTTTGAAGACCGTGAGAGACTCTGCTGTTCGGACAGCCAGTGGGAGTTTGTTCCACCACCTGGGTGCCAGGACAAAGAAAAGTCTTGATGCTTGTCTTCCACGCATCTTGAAGGATGGCCGGTCAAGCTGAGCTGTACTTGAAGCTCAAAGGGCTCAAGGTACAGTTCGAGTTTTGACCATTGCCATAAGGTGGGCAGGGGCTGGTCCGTTTTTGGCTTTGTAGGCAAGCATCAGGGTTTTAAATCTGATGCGTGCAGCTACAGGAAGCCAGCGAAGGGAGCGCAGCAGTGGAGTGACGTGATTGAACTTAGGAAGATTGAAGGCGAGCCGTGCTGCGTCATTCTGGATGAGTTGCAGGGGCTTGATGGCCTGCACAGGAAGACCAGCCAAGAGCGAGTGGCAGTAGTCAAGCCTTGAGATGACAAGAGACTGAATGAGCTGTTGGGAAGGAAAGCATTAGTTGAGTGTCATCAACATAGCAATGGTGTGAGAAGCCATGAGGAGATATAACATCACCAAGAGAATGAGTGTAAAGTGAAAAGAAAAGAGGACCCAGCACTGAGCCTTGTCAATGGAGAGCCTGCATGGAGAGGATGTGGACCCCCTTCCGTGTTACCTGATAAGAGTGCCCCTCCAGATAGGACTTAAACCACTGCCATGCACAGCCAATTCCAAGGTCGGAGAGGACAGCCAGAAGGATCGTCAACCTTCTCTTCAAAGAAGGTGACAAAATCCTCAGGGGTGAGAGAAAAGGGTGGAGAGGGAGAAGGAGGGTTGAGCAGAGAGGAGAAAATGGTAAAGAGCTTGTGTGGATCAGATCCTGATGCTTTCAGTTTCTCTCAGTAGAAGTGAGATCTTATCTGCCTGATCAGTTGCTTGAAGACTGAACAACTGATTAAATCAGCAGAGTCAGGTGTGCTTATGCTCACTTGGAATGAAAACCTGAAAGACTGGACACCCCTGATGCAAAGTGAAACTTTATTTCATTGTGGGAAAACATGCTTTGTATCTTTTGTAATCCATAAGATTCTCCTTTAAAACATAAAGAACTCTTATGTATCTCATAATGTAGAAATAAGTATTTTTCTCAAATCTGTGTGTGCCACAATTTTTGGCACCTCTTCATTTAATGCTTTCTGCAGCTTCTATTTGCAAAGATAACAGCTCTGAGTCTTCTCCTATTCCACTTAATGAGACTGGAGAACACATGGCAAGTGATTTGAGACCATTCCTCCATACAGAACTTCTCTAGATACTTCAGATTCAGAGGTCCACGCTCTTCAGCTCATCCTACAGGTTTTCTATAGGGTTTAGGTCAGAGGACTGAATTAAACTTGGATTAAAACCTTAATTCTGTGGTTAGTGAACCGTTTTTGTGTTTATTTTTTGTGGTTTGCTTTGGATCATTGTCCTGCTGGAAGATCTAACCACAGCCTAGTTTAAGCTTCCTGGCTGAGGCAGCCAGCTTTTGATTTTATTCTGGTACTTGATGGAGTCCATGTTACCATAGTTCATTGCCATTGGATAAAAAACACAGCCCCACAACAACACAGATCACACAACATTACTGTCCAGACTTGTGGACTTGAGTCATACGACTTGGACTCGAGTCACAAATTTGATGACTTTAGAGTTGACTCGAGAAAATCGATAAAAGGACTCGAACTCTGACTCAGAAAAACTCGAGACTCAAAGTGGAAGAAACGTGGAGAGGCGTCTGACTGCAGATGGCACAGTCGATTATTTTTCTTGTGAATGAATTTGTTTCTTGCCACAAATTGAATAAACAGCAACGGTGTCAGATGTCTGTTACGGTGCTTATGCCCAACTTATTTTATTTTGGAAGACAAGAGAAGCGTTTAGAGTTCAATTTCGCCTCCATAAGCTGGAAACAAGCGAAGCATCAATATTATCAATAAGTCCTCACTCAGCACTAAACCCTTGTATGGTGTTCGGGTCTGTGGGACACATTTTAAATGTTTACCAAAAGAAAAAAATTGCGATTTATTATTATTTCAACCTCAGATTCCTTGGCCTTTGCTCATTTTCTGTGAAGAACATTTTAAAATAACTCATTTTCAGTGACATCACATCTATATTACACATGTGGTGTTTGGTGAACCTGCGGGGAATAAAAGTCTGGAGGTGTTGTGTCTCTTCACTCTGTTCTTCTCCTACATGGCCTGCTGTTAGTGTGTGTGTCTGTGTGTATGTGTTTTGTATATGTTTGACACGCTGCTGACTGGCTACAGCTGCTAAAGGAGAACCCTACGCTGGCCACTTGGGATATTTTAAACATCTGGTATTTTTACATAAATTGTTATGGTTATGATTAAAAAAACAATAATGTGATGAGTCCACCAGACCCACTGAGTAACAAAAACATGAACACCACACCAGGGTTGAGCTCTTACTGGAGAAACTCACCAGGTGAACTGACCATTTTCCTCAAGATCGCAAAACAAAAGAAACACAACTTGCTCTATTTGACTGATTTTAACGGCTTCTGCAGGTAAAACAAGCACAACATTCACTACGAGGCTGAAGTTGACTTGTTGGCCGCCAGCTTCATATTGGAATTTGCCGTTCCACCTTAAAAAGTGCAGCAGTTACGTGCCAGAATGTAACAGCTGCACCATTTTAGGTGGAACGGAAAATTCAAATAAGACATTGGAGAAAAAAAGTCAACTTCACCAACAAATTCACCATCATTTTGCTGCTTTTGTGTAAACTTTGTTCAGCTTGGTCGTTTTGGTTTCTGTTATCTAAATTTAATTCAAAGTAGTGGTTATTTTTAGTTGGCTGACCTATTTTTTATTTTAATTCTGTGCTCCCAATGTTCCCAAAAATCATAAAAAATTATCTTCAAATATATATTCTTTAAATTAGGTTCAGTAGTACTTATTAAATTTGTTTCATATTTTTCATATTTCACATGTGCGCTGCTCCACCAGTATACCTGTCATGGTTATCTGTGTACCAAAATTTAGGTTGGAAGGGTAAAAATGATTAATTGTGTATTAATATACAACCATACACTGCTAACTTGCTGTCATGAAACGGCTATAGTAATGTTAACATTATTCAGTGTTATGGTCTTAAGTTAGCTGAAGAATGCATACTGACTCGTTTAGGACTTGAACATTAGGGCTGTTGATTTGGGACTCAACTTGCGACTCGCCTGTACTGACTCGAGACTTGAATTGTGACTCGACTATCTTGACTTGGGACTTCACTCGGGACTTGAGTGTAAGGACTTGAGACTTACTTGTTACTTGCAACTTACTGACTTGTTCTCACCTCTGTTACTGTCAGACTGAAGTTTTATCAGGTAAGGAAATTGGATAAGGAGTCATCAAACATGCTGAATGTAAGTTCAAAGCTTTTAAACCTTTTAAATAAGGATTCCTACAATTTTTTCTGCGTAATTTAGGCATTAAGATGTAAACAAGGTTTTTCAAGGTGGTTTTAAATGCTCCATTCTAAAGAAACTGATTTAGAATCGTTCACAGTGGTGGTTACAGGAACCAGACCTCTGAAGTGTTAAGTGCCTCTAAATGTTACCTCACAGAAAGTTATTACATGAAACAGTTGATATGTTGTTTTATGATAGTATTGTAATCAGGTAGTGTTGTAATTTGGCCTAAATCATACTTTTAAAAGTAAATTAATGGTACATGCAAGGTGTTGTAAGGTACGTGGTGCTGTAGCATGCAGATACTGTAGGATCATATACCATGCAGCAAGATGAGTGTGAGCATGTTTTTCTCTGTCTGGAAGGACAGCAGCCCTAATATCTGTAATCTGGATGAGGTACAGATAAAATAGGTATGCAGATCCACTTTCACTTTAAGTATTGGTGAGATAAAACTGCTTCTTGGTTTACACCTAGAGATAAAGGAGCTCAGCTCGGTTATGATATATCAATAACAGATATTTTTTCTTTTTCTTTTTTGCAATAGTCAAGCAGAAACAAGTAAAAAGACAAGCTCAATTTACGTTAGCCTAAGTAAAGTGGACGCTCTATTAGTGATCCACACTCAAGCAGGAACAATTGTACCAACATGTCAAACACACTCCATTCACAGCAATAAAGAACTTTGGTACACTGCAAATCTCTGCATCCAGTACACTACAAGACAAATACTCAGATTCACTGCACACCAGTGACCTACTACCAGTGAATAATAACTCTTACACTTAGCTGTCTCTTACTTAGGGTGTATATGGTGTATTCCATGCCTTGGAAGTGGCTTTACACTGATCATAAAGTTTAAAAACATTACAACCATTATATGAATAAAGCCCAATTAAAATAATAAAGAAAGAAATAAAACAAAAAGGGCAGAAAAGAACAGTGGCTAATGTCACTCTTTATCTTACAGCAAGCAGCCTAAATGTAAACAAAAAAAATAATCTTTGTCTTAAGTCAGGCGTTAGCAATGTTGCCTTATTCATGTACAAAAAGACGCATTTCCACCTGCAAAGCTAACAACTATATATAACCCAAACAATAATTGGTCAGAGTTTAGCAGCCCTTGTCTAAATCCACTTTACAACTGAACAAAATTGAAGTTGCCAATCTGCAGGGAAACACAGGATTCCTGCATGAGTATTGAAGAAGTATAATGAGGTGTGAGCACCTCTACTGACGCACCTTTTTAACTCATGCTTGGAAGCAGGATACTTTCCCACCCAGTGGGCAAAATCAGTAGTTGCAGTACCAAAGAAAAGCATGGTCATATGAAGAACAGATCAACTGGATCAGATGTTGCCTTATTGTGTAAACCCGTCAAGTATGCAGATGCAGATAAATTCATTTATTATCTGTATATATATCTGTATATGTATCTGTATATACAGCTCATCCTGATCTCATCCTGTCTGATGATGGAAAACAAGCAACACATGGAGACATAAAACAGAAGCTACCTGACTGTCCAAAGAGATTTGATGTGTGTGCCTCTGTCCTGGAAAAGGAAGGATTCTGCTCAGGGAGTTTTACTATGAGGTCCAGGGGGAAGACTGAGTGGGATGTAGGAGTGGTCAGAGAGTCCATTAACAGGAAGACCAAGATTACACTGACCCCACAGAAAGGATTCTGGACTCTGTGTTGAGGAATCGGAGTGAGTATAAGGCTCTTGCTTGTCCCTCAGTCTTACTGTCCCTAAGAGAGAAGGTTCAGAAGTTAGGAGTTTTTGTGGATTATGAGAAGGGTCTGGTCTCCTTTAATGATGAGGAGTCCAGATCTCATATCTACTCTTTCATATCGAGATGGGCTGGGGTTCAATTCCCTGGCCAGGCGACCAGGGTCCTTTTTGTGTGGAATTTGCATGTTCTCCTTGTATGCTCCGGTTTCCTCCCACACACCAATTAGACATACTAATTTGCCCCTAGGTGTAAGTGTGTGTGACTGTATATGTCCATGTGTCTGCCCTGTGATGGACTGGCAACCTGTCCAGGGTCTTTTCTTGCCTTCTGCCCGATGTTTGCTGAGATTGGCTCCAGCACCCATCGTGATCCAGGAGGATAAGCGGCTTAGTGTGTGTGTGTGTGTGTGTGTGTGTGTGTGTGTGTGTGTGTGTGTGTATGTTATTGTATGTATATTGTAATCAGTTAGTGTGCATGTGTGTACAGACTACATTAAAGGAAAGTGGTACAGGTGGGAGGTAGGGGGGTGGCTTGCTGCTCTGTAAGAGATTCTCTCTCAGATTCTTTTATTTTCATTTGCTGCTCTGTAAATTGTTTGATTATAAATCAAACCTTTGATAACTTTAACCTGACTGGTTTTAACTAACAGTCTGAAACGTGAAAAGAGAGTGCATTCAGTCTTGTGAGCAGCAAAGTTAGTTTCATTTTCACTTGTCTGATTTCTTTCATTAGTAGTTTTTGAATCATGCAAAATGTTATGCAAAATGTTAATGTATGTTAATGATCATTATTTGTAACTAAGATGATCAGCTCCCACTTAATGCCTAATTTAATGCCTATTTAAACTTGTAGGATTTCTGTGGACTGAAATTGCCCAGAAAGAACTGAAAAGTCCTGGGACAGCAGTATTGTTTTTACCTTTTTTTGCATTTAATCCAGTGTACTGGATCATTCTACATAACTTGTAGACACAACATTCTACATAACTGGATCATTGTTAACTTGTGGGGGCAGTATGTATATTGGTGTTTCACTGCACTGATGGGTTAAATGCGGAGGTCTAATTCCTCTGTGTGCAAACACAGTTGGCTAATGGTTCTGAATTAAACACAATTGTGTTTTAGTCCTAGAGCTTTTAGCCTGAATGTACTCATTTAAAAAATCAGTACACAGAAATTTATTACATTAAATGGTTATGAATACACTGCCTGATGCCTGAGACAGTCCTAAGATGGTTTTGTCCTAAAATGTACTGTTGAAAATACATTTATGGAGGAGAGACACATGCAGGGTGTTTAAGGCAAAATACATAATCTAAACTGCTTATCCTTCCAGGTCGCAGGGAGGTGCTGGAGCCTATCCCAGCTGTCATTGGGCGGGGCAGGATACACCTTGGACAGATCGCCAGTCCATCGCAGGGCATTAATGCAAAATAGTTGGTGTGCTCTATGTTGAGTGGAGGAAATGGTATCATTCTCCTGTGGTCTTAATAAGGCATTAAAAGCACTCAATACATTTTAAACTCATGCAGTAACCCTGACTTCATGTAGTACCTAAAAACAGTTTTACTGTGTCCACAGTCCCTCTCCCTGTCAGTGAGCTTTGACTTCTGACCACTGTTTCTGGAATGTGTGGTCATAATTTAAAGACTGTTCTCTTTGAGATATTAAATAATTTTGTGATTAATGCACCTGCAGTTCGTACACTGTATTTCCTTTTTGGAACTCCCTGTTTATAAACTCCTACTGGCTGTTTTAGAAAAGTTTAAATCACTGAGGCTCATAGAAAAGTGTTCCTGTAAGTAACAGATCACATGTTGCAGTGAAATGCTGGTCTTAAACGGTGAATTAGACTTACACTGCTTGCTTATGAGTGACTCATTTCTAATAGCCCAGCCTGTGGCTGGGTCGTCTGTGGGACGGCTGCGGCCACTAGAGAGAGACAGAGACCCCCTTTTTAGCAATTAGTGCAACACGATGCCAAGTCCAGCTTTTAGTCCTTTATTCTCAAGCTGTTTATCCAGCGTAAGTATAAAGACTGATCAGTTTGTTATTAAAAACAAAGAAACAAACAAAAGTCTTTCTCCTTTCCCCTCCCAGCTCCCGTCTTTCCTTTCCTGCTTTTGTCACTTCCTCTCCTTAGCCCTGATCGTGTGGTGTGATCGCTCCATGGAAAGTTTGTTCTGCATCCAAGTGGGCTGGGTTTGCGCCCCCTGACAAGGCAAGTTTAAGTTTTCTCTTCTCTTTATTCTTTTGGCTTCTAGTTTTCCTTCTTCGATGTTCCTACAGCCTTCTGATGTTTTCGTCTTCTTCTTCTTTTTTTCTTGTGCCTCTAGTTCGCTCTGCATGTGTGACTGTCCACCATCAGTTCTGGCGCAGTTGGTAATTCTTGTCATTCTTGTGTGATGAACGAGGTTTTAATCCGGATACAGAACCCGTTACAGTATAAGAAAGAGTTTTACTTCTACACGTCCAACTAAACTGCCCAGTCTGTGTTACACTGAGAACTATACTGTCATCATCTCACTCAAACAAAGTCAGATAAAGACGTTTAACACTGAGAAAGTGATCATATCAACAGCTGGAATACTGATGTTGAATACAATGTGATTATTGTCTCAAACAAGAGGAATAATATTTGATGTTGTCTGATGGAGCTTGTAAGCTGAGCTGTAAAACAGGTTGAAAGGTTGTTGTTGTGTTAACTGGTTAAAGCAGAGTGGAGCAAAAACCCTCATTCAGACAGAGCAGACAGTGAGAAACTGAATGATATTACTGAGCTGAGAGCTGTGATGATGGTCAGTATAAAGAGGAAAAGAGCTTTTACAGTCTGCAGATACAGAACAGCGTAATCTCAGGAATTCCAACGTCTCTACTGAGGTTTGGACGCCCCTGGTCGAAGGACATGTTTTGTTGATTTTTTTTAAATGGGCATAAGTACAAATCCTCAACAGAGAACACACTCCAACACATTTTAATGCTCAATTACTGTTTGTTGAATCTGACACTGAAACACAATTAAACATAAAATGTGGCCTCTGCAAGAGATGTTTTTTTTTTAAGTTTTTTTTCTTAACATGTTAGTAGAAATATTTACATTTGTTGCTTATAGCTGATGTGCTGACTTAATTTTACATAGAAAATAAAAAAAAAAACAAGCCATTTGACCAGAGGTAATTGCATTTTAGTATATGACTATATAATTCTTGTTTGAGTGAGTTTAAGGCAGCAGGCAGGTATGTTGTGTTAAATGTGTGAGCTGAGTGATGTGATTTCTTACTGAAAAGTGTTGAAGGAGGAAGATGGAAGTGGCTGAATCTTCATCACAACAACCAAGAGAAGATAGATGGAGTAGCATAGAGAAATCAGTTCACTGTAAGTTAAAATTTGAATATCTCTATTAAAATCAGGATAAACAATAAACAAGTTATTACAGTATCTAAGTTTCTAAGTTTATATTGCGCTGACAGTCAAACAGAATTACTCAGAAGCACAAACACTGCTGTTCATTCTCAACTCAAAATATATTATTAGTCAGATTCGGACCACCTGACCACCTGTATTATTTGGGTGGTGGGCCATTTTCAGCAGAGCACTGGCAGTGAAATAATCATGGTATCAGAAACTGCTACCTTGTAGTTCCACCTTGATGGAGTACAGTTAGAGACTTTAGCCCATCTGTTGATGCATCTTTTTTGTTAGTTGTCCTCTAGCTCTTCATCAGTGGTCAGTTTCTGACTACAGAGCTGCTCTTGGCTGTATATAAAACACTCAAAATTTACAGACTGGCTGGGCTAACAATAGTCCACCAATCACATAATAACCGGTGATCCAGTGGTGGACTCTTTCTAACCACTGCATCCAACCACTATGGATGGTGTGCGGACAGCAGTGAAGAATATGTGGAAAGCTTTTTCTTTAGGAGAATTAATATTACAAAAGTAAAAAAAGTGTTGTGGGGAAAATATTGATAAACACTCTTAGCGGTGTATTTAGCACTGTATTTATACATTAAATTGTTGAATGAATATAAATTTCTCATACTCGTCCACAGTTGCTCCTGATCCCAGTGGTCTCCTGTCTGAAGATCAGTTCCTCTGTTCTTTCTGTCTGAATGTGTTCACTGATCCAGTCTCCACTCCATGTGGACACAACTTCTGCATGAAATGTATTACAACATGCTGGGGTGACAGTGAGCAGTGTCACTGTCCATTCTGTGAAGAGAAATTCACCAAGAGACTAGAACTCAAGGTCAATACAGCCTTCAGAGAGGTTGTAAATCCTTTCAAGAAGAAAAGTGGTCTGGATAAACCTGAGGTTCTTTGTGATGCCTGCATTGGAGTGAAGCAGGAAGCCCTGAAATCCTGTGTGGATTGTCGTCTCACTCTTTGTAAATCTCATTTAGAATCTCATAATAATATGCCAAAAATTAAGGAACACAAGCTGATAAGCCCATTAAAGAACCTGGAGGACTACATATGCCAGAAGCACAGGAGACCCCTGGAGTTGTTCTGTAGAGATGACCAGATGTTTGCGTGTATGATCTGCACTGTGACTGACCACAAGAAGCACAACACTGTTCCTGTAGAGGAGGGGATTGGAGAAATGAAGGTGGGAGAAATGCTGATTAGGTTCATCCTTAAACATTCATTTAAAAATGAAACAAAACATTTGATAAGAAAACCAAACTATTCACTGAAATATGAAAGTAAAAATTATTTCTTCTCATTTGCAGCTGGAGAAGACACAGACAGAGGTGCAGCAGATGATCCAAGACAGACTGAAGAAGATCAAAGACATCAAACACTCAGTAGAGCTCAGAAAAGTGAGTGAACCATGACATATTGTGATTTCCTCATTCTGCAGAATTTTTGGCCAAAACTAATAGTTTGCATTGTAGCACTAGTATAAACTATTAGTTTCAGCCATTTAACGCCCCCTAAAATACACCTTGCTGACTGGACATCTTATTAAGCACATCTCCTTCTTATCTACACTCGTCCATTTTATCAGGTCCACAACATAGGTGCACTTTATATAACAGTTACAGACTGTGGTCCATCTGTTTCTTTGCATACTTTGTTACTTCACTATGTTCATCAATGGCCAGGACCCCCACAGGACCACCACAGAGCAGGTATTATTTGGGTGATGCATCATTCTCAGCACTGCAGTGACACTGACTGGTGGTGGTGTGATGTGCTGGTATGAGTGGATCAGTTTTTTAACACCTCAGTCTCACTGCTGGACTGAGAATAGTGTAGCAAATCAAAAATAGTGTAGTAGTAGCAAATGTAGTACACTAAACCTTGTTCAAACTTAGTATATCCTTGTTAGCTATAGTAGAATAATAGTTGGAATGATGGTTATATTATGAGCTTCAATGAATATATAGGCTCAAATGTACATGCTTATGTTTGTGATGGTAACACATATTGAGGTGTGTTAAATTCCTCAAACTCAAAATAGCTTCAGACTTGTGTAAACACCTGTCAGATGTTATAGTATTGAATAGAAATGGA